AGCTGCCGTAATTAAATTAGTCACATAAGGATCTCATAAAGGCCAGGAGGGGAATGGGGAGGGGGGAACAGCCGGCCCCAGGAGGTGAGCCCGGGGTGGGGGGGGTCCTGGGGCGCACAGGAGCGGGGCGAGGAGGGGCCACTGGGAAAGCCACCACTAATTAGTCCGGTTCGTCAGAGGGTGAAGCCTCGTCTCTCCCGCTCAGCTGGAGGAAGCGGGAGCCGAGGGAAGGCTCCAGCCGGCTCTGCCCGGACGGTTTTGCAAGCCTAGCTGTTTCAGCCCGGGAGGGCAGGAAGGGAAGGATTTTTGGCCAGAAAAAGCCCTCGTGTAGACAGAGTTATATCAACAACCGCCTTCCAGAGCAGACAATGCCAGTACAGAGAAACGTGATCCCCCGCCAGACCCCGGCCCTCGCGCCGAGCTCAGCCCTGCACGGCCCTCCCGTGCCTCAGTTTCCCCCCCCCCCAAAATCCCTCCATCCACTTTATCTCGCTCTGGAACACAAGGATTGTCCTCCCCCCCGCAGGGCCCAGTTTGTTCCCAGACCTTCCAAAATCCAGAGAACGGCCCGGAACCCCCTGTGCCGGCACTGAGGGACCCCAACCCTCGGGAGCACCTCCCGAGCTGAGCCCGGCCCTGGTGCCCCGGGGGGGACGAGCTTTGGCTGCGGGTCGGGAGAAAGGAGGAAAGGCAAAGGGTGCAGAGTATGGGTTCAGGGATGGGGTGGGATGGGGGCTGGGATTGAGCCGGAGATGGGTCCTGGGACGGGCTGGGATGGTGACGGGGGGTTGTGAAATGGGGGCTCCCCGCCGCCTTTGACAGCTGCCAGTAGAGCCACGACGAGGGAGAGAAAGCGGGGCGCCGGGCCAGCCCCCCCTGCTCCTCACCCTAAGTACAACCAGATGCATCTCGGAGCGGGACCGGCCGCTGCTCCCCCCGTTCCTCCCGTCCCGGGTAGCGGGGACCCCCCGGCCCCGAGGCCAGCGCGGGGCAGCGGTGCCAAGTTTCGCCGTGCAAAGCCCCGAAGTGTGTGCGGGGCACACTCACACTCGCGCTCACTCGCGCTCACTTCCACATTCTCTCCCATCAGGCCCCCCCCGCGCTCCCCTTTGTCCGCCCGCCCGCCCCCGCCGCGCATCCCCCGCTCCTACCGGCTTTGCAGGGGTCCTTGTAGTCCAGGGGCTCCTCGTCCTCCTCCTCCTCTTCCTCCAGCACGTAGGAATAGTCCGGGAAGCGCAGGGCCCGGGCCAGGAGCAGGCAGAGGAGCAGCCCGCAGCTCCGCAGCCCGGCCATGGCTCCGGCCGGGTTTTTTTTTTCCTCTCTTCTCTCTTTCCTTCCCTTCTTCGCTCCCTTTTTTTTTTTTTCTTTCCTTCCCTCGCTCTCTCTCTCCCTTTTTTTTTTTTTTTTTTTTAGGGAAATGAGATCTGGCGGGGGCGGGTTCAAGCGCGGAGCTCGGCCCCTGCAGCCCCGGGCGCAGGGCTGGGAGCGGGGCCAGCGCCGGGGGGGCGGCGGGGACGGGCTGTTGTGGGGACCCGGCCCGCAGCCCCCCCTCCTGCCCCTCTGCAGCCCCCGGGACCGCTCCTACCCTCCCCGGGCACGGGGCTGCCCCGTTCCGTCCCGTCCTGCACCCCCCGGGTCCCGTCTCGTATCTCCCGGTATCGACCCTGCGTCTCCCGGTCCCGTCCCGCACCCTTCGGTCTCGTCCCGCATGCCCCGGTCCCGATCCTGCTCTCCCCGTCCCATCCTCCAGCACCGATCCTGCCTCCCCCGGGTCCCATCCCGCGTCCCCCGGTCCCTTTCCTGCCACCCCTCGGTCCCATCCCGTATTCCCGGTACGGATCCAGGCCCCTCCCAGTCCCGTCCCGCACTCCCGGTATCCCGGGGACACGGTATTCCCACGTGCCCCAGCCCCGATCCTTCCCCCTCGGTGCCATCCCGTGGGATAAGGCTGCTGGCTCCTGCCTCCCCTGCTCCCGTTGTCCCTGTGCCACCCTATTCTGTCCCCTGACCCCGGGGTGGCTGTGTCCCCCCTCGGGTGGGTGTGGGTACCCCCATCCTGGGGAGGGAAGCGGGGTCCAGCTCCCCACTCACCACGAGATCTCCAAGTTCCACCTTGTTTTACCCTGTGTCCCAACACCCATGTGTCCCCCACGTCCCATTTCCGTGTCCCCACGTCCCCCAGCCCTTCCCAGTGTTGCTGTGTCCCCCCATCCCGGTGTCCCTGTGTGCCCCCAGCCCATTCCTTCTGCCTCGCCCCCCCTTGTCCCGTGTCATGTCCACTGTCCCTCCTGTGCATCCCAGGAATGCTGCAGTGGGGGTGAGGAGTGAGAGGTTATCCCCCTCCCACCCTCCCCCTGTGCCTGGCTCATCCCGTGGTGCTCCTGAACAAACCCATCCCTCTCCTCCTACAATCCTCCCAGAGCTCACATCATTTTTTCCCAGATTTTAAGTGCTCCTGCGTGCGATGACCCCCGCAGGGACAGGCTGCACGACATCAGCATCCGGGCTCTGCTCCCTCCCCTGCCTGCTAAACCCCCCCAAATCCTCTTTTCCTTTGCTTTCAGGGACTCCCCCATGTCCAGGGCCTGGCTGACTCCCACTGGGAATGACGGGAGTCTCCTTCCCCCCTTATCTCCGGCCGTTATTTTCCTCCCCCGCCAGCAGATCATCCCGGGATGTGTTTTCCTCCTTCTCCCTTATTGCAAAACCCACATCCAGCAAAACTTCCCTCTTGGAGCAAACAAATAAACCCCGGAAAACTGAGCCGGCTCTGTGTGTCCCCCCTCCCACCACCGCTACCCTCGGCCCACACGTCACACGGAGCATCCCAGGGACGGGAATTTGGGGAGCTGGTCTCCCAAGAAAACAAACAAGCCAGTCTCTGAAGTACTTTCTGTCTGCATGCCCTGCTCAGGCTGGGAAGGAGGTCTGCGGGCCGGGTCCCTGGATGATGTCAATCCGTGATGTCAGGATGCAGCCGCCGGTTTTCCACCCGGAGATGTCACCCCTTTCTCACGGAGCGCTCCGGGGAGCCGCGGCTCGTGGGGGAGGCTTTTCCCAGCCTGGGTTTCCCACGCCAAGCACTGGCTCCCGGGATCCAGCTCCTTTGCTGGCGGCCCTGGATGTCACTGGCTACCAGCATTCCAACCTGGAGCCTACCTGGACCAGGCCCTGGGGGAGCTGGGAATGCTGGACCAGCCCACCCGCGTCCCGCCTGGTAGGGATGGGGACACCCTCATCCCAGGGGCAGGAGCCCTGGGTGGATGGGCTGCACCACCTGGCACGGGCACACGGATTCCAGAGCTCCTACCTCAACCTGCCCGCCCTGCAGAGCTTCCTTGGCGTCCTGGCACGGCAGGTGGGCGACGCCGAGGTGTGGCACTGGCACAGCCAGCACCCTCCACGAGGGTGGGGGACACCGAGAGCTCTCACCCCCACTCCCAGCACCTCCTGAGGGCTTGGCTCTGATTTTCCCCCTCTCCCCAGGACCCCCGAGGTCCCACTGTTCCGCAAACCTCCCCGTGCAGGCTCCAGAAATGAGGACACTGGAGTTATTGCACAAGGACCTGGGGGTACTGCCAAGTTCCTGACAGCTCCTTCAGCTGCTCTGCCTCAGGGGGGAGGCTGAGGGGGTTTGGGGGTCAGTGAGGGGTGGGGGGTGGGCACCCCAGAGCTGCGGGAGGCCCTGGATGGGCGCCCCACATCCAGGCCAGCTGCATCTATGCTCTCCCTGCAGGAACAGCTTCCCTGGGTGCCAGCTGTGGGGAGTGGGGACCAGAGCCACGTGTGGGGGGCAGCTGGGTGCTGGTGCCCCCCACCCTGGGGCCAGCAGGAGGCAGCTGTGGGGCTGGTGGCCTCCCATTTCGGGGGATTGTGACTGGGCTGCTCTGTGTTCCCCTTCTTCGCCCCAAATGCTCAGCCCTGGGACCACCATTGATCCCAGTAGCACTGGGCCTGAGTAACATCAGCATCCTGGTCCTAATAACACCTGATCCTAACAGTGCCAGAATCCCATCCTAGTAAAGCGTGATCCTAACAGTACCAGCATCCCGGTCCTAATAAACCCTGATAACTCCTCATCCTAATAACAATAGCATCATTCTGGTCCTAAGGATGCCTGATTCCAGCACCAGCAATCCCAGCCCTAATACTACCTGATCCTAATTGCACCGGTATCCCAGTCCTAATAACGCCTGATCCTATTAATGCCTGATCCCAGGAACACCGGCATCCTGGTCCTAATAACGCCTGCTCCTCCCAGCACCGACATCCCTGTCCTCATCATCCCAGCCCTAACGATCCCGGTCCTCGGGCAGCTTCTGGTGGCCGTGGCCGCCTTCGGCACAGGCTGTCTCCAGGAATAGCTCCCAGACCTGATTCCTGCCCTTCTCCTTTATTCCAGCCTGGCAGAGGACAGACCCATTTTTCAGGCCGGGCTGGCTCTGGCAGCAGGACGGAGCAGCTCAGGTCAGGCAGCCACGCTCACAGAGCATGGGGGGCCCTCCCGTGAGCCCCCAGGGCCAGAAATCCCCCCCTCTCCCCCCAAAATCCCAGCTCAGAGCCCCGAAACGCGTTTCCAAGGCAAAAAGGAAGGCGGGAGCTGGCGGGAGCGAAGAACTGGAACGGGAGAATTGTGTTTTCTTTTAAATGTCATGTTTTTTTAAGCTCGTTTTTGCACTCGGGTTTTGGCGAAGAAGCTGAGAAGAGTTTAAGTGACAAACCAGCTGTCCCCCCACGGCGCGGCGCAGACACCCACCCGCCGCCCCCACCCCCCGGCACCGCGTGTGCATCCCCCCACCCCCACCCTCCTGACCTCCGCTACCCCTGCCCACACGCCCCCGCCCCAAAATCGGGGTGGGCGGGACCGGGTGGGGGCGGGCGTTGTCGTTGATGCTTCCGAAGGGGGTGCTGCAAGGCAAAGCCGGCGCTGTGAGGGTGCTGGTGGGTGGGTGCGGGTCCCCCAGCGCCCCCCACCCACCCATCACGCTCACCCAGCAGGGCTAAGCCCAGTAGACGGGCAGGGCGCTGCAGAGGATGCTCGCTGTGGTGCCCAGGAGGGAGAGATCAGCCAGGGGCAGGGAGATCCTCTGCTCGTTCTGCAGAGCGGGGAGAAGGGCAAAAAAAAGGGAGGCAGATGCTGCACCCCAAATCCTCGTCCCCACACACACACCCCAGCCTGCCCCAGGCAGGTCACCCCTCACCTGCCGGCGCTGGAAGGTCTCGGCCACCGCGTCCAGCCCTGGGATGTTGTCCTTGTCCACACGGGTGACGTAGCAGGCGCGGTGCAGACGGGACCTGTAGCTCACCAGCAGCTGTTGGAAAGTCAGGCCTGGGTCAGCTCCATCCCACCACCCCCATCACCCTGTGTTTCCCCACCCGGGTGCCCCCCACTCACATTCCTGTAGTCATAGACCACGGTGGCCGCGTCCCCATCCCCGCCGTCCAGGTAGAAAGTGGCCGCATCCTCTTCCCAGGCCGGCCCTCCCCACAGGCCCATCCGCAGCACCTGGAGAGGGGTTGAGGGGGGATCTCAGAGCCTGCAGCACCCCCCCTCCCTGTGGGCATCAGCGGGGGGGTCCCTGGTGGGGGTGGCCACTCACGGTGTCGGCGTGGCTCTGGTCGACGCGCAGCCACATGAGCAGGGCGCCGGCGATGATGACCACCAGCAGCACCACCACCACCACCACGATGAGGAGGCACCGGAGGTTGCGGCAGCCCAGCAGCTTGCGGGGCAGGTAGCACAGCAGGCGGGGGACGAAGCACAGGGACTTCTTGAGGCAGCCGGAGCAGCCGGAGCAGCCGGGACACTTGGGGCACTTGCAGCAGCACTTGGGCAGGCAGCAGCACCGGGCACACTTGGCACAGCACATGGTGCAGGGCATGCAGCAGCCTGGGCAGCAGCATCCCTGCTCCGAGTCCTGGGGGGTTTGGGGAAAATGGGGGGAGATGGGATGAGCAGGGTGGAGGTGGGGGAAGCAGGAGAGTTGGGGTTGTGGGGAGCAGCTCGAATCCCGCTGCCCCTGGGCACCCCACTGCCCCTCAGCATCCCGCTGCTCCCACCCCAGAGCCCCTGAGTGCTGGGAATGCAGCATCCCACGGGCTCTTCCCGTCACAGCTGCACCGGTGCCTGGCTGGGATAAACAGGGCAAAGCCCTGTGCTGTGGGGACGTGCCACTCTGCAGAGACTCACCTCTTCTTCCTCAACCACCACCTTCTTCATGTTGCTCTCCATGGCAGCCTCTTCCTCCTCCTCCTCCTCCTCCCAGCCCGGCCTGCCTGCAGGGACCGGGTGCTTTATACCAGGGCACTGGGGTGGGGGCAGGAGCGGCCCCTGTGAAGGGTTTGGTGTCCCCAGGGGGGGCAGTCGAGCTCTGGCATGTGACCCTCTCCACTGGTGTTTGCTGAACGCCCGCTCCGGGCCGGATCCCGCTGGGAACACGCAGGTCAAGAGGCTCCCAGGGCGCTGGGTCGAGGACACTCATCCCCGGGCACGAGGAGCTCTCTGCTGCCCAGGAGCGAGGGGTCAGGGCCAAAGCAAACCCTCCAGGGTGGAGCATCCGGCAGTGGCTGCAGCCAAGGGCAGACCTGGCTCGTGTCCCTTCGCCAGCCCGGCCACCTGGAGCTGCTTGAGGTGGACGAAAGAGCAAACAGGACATTAAAGCTTTCCCGTAATCCGCAGGGGTGGGGTGGGAACGGGATCACAGTAGGGTTGGGACATGTCCCTGGTCCTCATTCTTGGTCCTGAGGGTGCTTGGGCACCGCTGCCCATGGCTTTTGGGGCTGCACTGTGGATTTTTTTATGGTGAGAGGGGTCCCAGCTCTGGCATGTCACCCCAGCTGGTGGGGGACACTGCTGTGCCCTGGCTGTGCCCATCCATGAGGCTCTCCTGCAGCTGGGCTCAGGCTGGGACCTCTCCAACTCCCACCCTGAGACTCCCAAAGCTTGCAGCCAGGTGTGGGGGTTTGTGTGTGGCCTCCCCCAAACCCGTTTCACGCTGCCTCCTTTCCCAGGGGGACATAGGACCATGAGAGACCCTCCAGTGGCTCCTGCCTGTTTGCTCTCGGACACCACGGGGGCCCTTCTGGCCTTCCACAGCCCTGGGCACGCTCTTGGCCTGGATCCTTGCCAGGGCAACACAAGGTCGGGACATTTTGTGGGTCAGCACATGCAGTTTCCCTCCTGTTCCCAGCAAAGCCTCACCCTCCGGGAGCTCTGACCTCCCCCTCGCTGCCTGTGGCAGTGACTGCGGGGACAACACTGAGACTGCACCCCTGGAAAGGCCAAATCAACCTCCCAGGGTCTCTCTTCCCCCTCCCAGCTCCGCTAATCCTCAGTGCAGCACTTGGAGGTGTCCCCCAAAGTGGGGGGCTGAGGGACTGGGGTGGATGGGGATGGGAACTGGGTGGGGATGGAGGGGAGCTGGAGCAACTGGGTTGTGGTGTCTGTGGATAACCCAGGGCTTGGCTCTCACCAGGGGTGTGACACAGACCCTCTGCCCCCATCTGCATGAGCAGGGGACAGGGGCAGGGACTTTTCCAGGAGGGCTGGAAGTGCAGAGGTTGCTCCTGCCATCCCTGGAAACTGGGAGTTCACGGGTGGGGACACTGGGAGCCTGATCTCCAACAGGGGTAGTTGTGCCACTGCCCCTGACCCAAAGGCTTCACCACCCCTGGAAGGACGAGAGCAGCACTTGGAGGAGGGGGCAGAGCCTTCACTTTGCAGACAGAAGCAAATCCCAAAGCAAATCCCACTTTTTTTTTTTATTGTGAGTGCCAGGTGGGAAAGCTGAGTGACAGCGGATGGAGCACCCCCTCAGCGGGGTGGCTGCCCTCAGGATGGGCACAGGGAGGAGGGGAGATGCCCGGCCATCCCAGAGGGCAACAGGGACGGTGACACACTGGTGACATCCCCTTCTCCCCGTCCCATCCCACCGGGAACCGGTGCTACGCCCAGTACACGGGGACGGCGCTGCAGAGGATGTTGATGGTGGTGCCCAGGATGGAGCGGTCGGCCAGGGGCACGGCGTTGTCCCCAGCCTGCTCAGCCTGCAGGACAGAGAACGGGGCAGGGGCTGCCACCCTCGGCAGCCACAGCAAGCCCCCAGCCCCACGCACGCCCCCAGGACGCAGGGGCCGGGATGTGGATGAGCCCAGTGCGGCTCCATCCCCATCCCCATCCTCACCTGCCGGCGCTGGAAGGTGTCGGTGACGGCGTCCAGCCCCGGGAAGTTGTCCCTGGCCACGCGGGTGATGAAGCAGGCGCGGTGCCGCCAGGACCTGTAGCCGACCAGCAGCTGTTGGCAGACAGACCCCTGGTCAGCTCAGCACCACCCCGTGCCCCCCGTGTGTGTCCCCAGTCCCCCCCTCACACCTTGCTGTAGTCGTACACCACCGTGGCCGAGGCGTTGAGCCCGTCCCGCACCCAGAACGTCCCGGTCCTCTCCTTCTTGCTCATGGAGAGGTGCTGGGGGGTCCCTTCGCCATCCAGCCCGTGGATGGTCATTCGCAACACCTGCCGGGTGGAGAGGGGTCAGGGAGCTCCAAACTCCACCCCTGCAAGGCCCTGCTGACCATTCCCAAACCCACCCCTGTTGCCCTCACCGTCTCCGCGTGGGTCTCGGTGATGTGCAGCCCCAGGAGCAGGAAGGCGACCACCACCACCACGAGGACCACCATCATCCCCACCGCCGTCAGGAGGCCCCTGAGCTGGTGGGACACGCAGGGCAGGCGGGGGGACTCCGTGTACCTCTGGAGAGGGGAGCACCCGACTGAGCTGCCAGCGTGGGGCCGGGCACGGCAGTGGGTGCTCAGCCCCAGGACGGGCCATGGGTGCTCCTTACCGGGGGTGCCTCCTCCATCAGCGCCTCCTTGGAGCTGTCATCCATCTCGCCGGGTGCTCCTGTCCCTTTGCCAGCCGCAGCCTGGGGGGATTTATATGGCCACGGGTGGGTGGGGGGCGAGGCTGTGGCCGCCCCAGCTGCCAAGGTGCCACTTGGGCTGTTTGAAGAGCCAGGGAGGGGACACGAAACCTCCGAGGGCCTTTTCCTGGCACTAGCCCGGCCAAGGCAAACAGCGGGGCGGCAGAGCGTGCCCGCCCTCCACATCCCGGCCCGGGCCTGGCAGCGTCCCCAGAGCACCCTCAGCACGTCTCCGGGGGTGCTGCACCCCTGGCCGTGCACGGGCAGCTGCGGGTGCCCCCCCTCCCCGCCCCGGGCGAGGGCAAGGAGCTGGCTGGGCTCATTGTTCCCGCCGGCGCCGTGCCAGGGACAGGACAGATGGACGCCCGGGATGGGAGAGATGGGTGCCTGGGACGGGCGGGCGCCTGGGGCGGGGTGGGTGGGTGCCCAGTGCGCCAGAGCGGGCAGGGAGCTGGCGCGGGCAGCGCTGCAGCGCCGAGCCGGGAGAGCCCCCGCCGTGCCACCCGCCCTGAGGGTACCCCTGTCCCCCACCCCTGTGCACCCCGGGGGCACACAGTGGCCACCCCGCCTGCAGCGTGGAACCCCGTGTTTGCTCGCTGGTGAGGACACACGGACACGCGTGCCCGGGGATGCTGGCGCTGCCACTCAGCCGCATCCCTCCCTCCCTCCCTCCCTCTCTCCCTCCTTCCCTCCCTCCTCCCCGCAGCACAGGAGCATGGTGTGCTGCAGAGCCGCGGGTCAGGCGCCGGCAGCCTCTGCTGACACCATCGCTGCTCCTCCACGCTGACATCTCCGGGGGAAAGAGGAGAGGAAAAGGCTCTTCCACAGCCCCCGGGCACAGCAGGATTGGGAACAGCTCCCGGGATCAAACAGGGATAAGGCCAGGGCGTGATGGAGCTGCAGAGCGGGAGAGGGATGCTGAGGGACCGACTCCCCGCTCTCCTCCTCCTCCTCCTCGCCGCGGCCTGGCTCTGGCTGCCGGCAGAGGGGAGGCGGCCCCCCCGGCCCCCTCCTTGCCCCCCGACCTGCTCCTGCACCCGGGACACGGCTTTTTGCGTGGATTCCAAGGCTGTGCCCAAAAACCTGCCCCCCGAGGTCATCTCACTGTGAGTACCTGGGATGGGGACAGGGACAGGGATGGGGACAGGGAGCGGAACAGCCCCTCTGTGCCACACTGGGGGGGCAAACACGGGCAGGATGGGGTCCGGGCAGTGTGGAGAGGCTGTGGGGGGGGAGTATCAGGCTGGGGACAGCCCGGGACTGCTCCCGGTGTCCTGCGGTGGTGGCACACGCAGCCATCCATCAGTGACAGACAGAGCAGGGCTGCAGCCTGTCCCCAACGTGACCTTGGCGACATGAGCCCCGAGGGGACACGGCTGTGACCTTGGAGACCAGAGCCCCATGGCTGGGGGGGGTCCTCACGGGGGTCCCTGGGGACATGGAGGTTCCCCAGAGCCCGGTACAGGTGTGTGTGGCAGCTACGTGTGCGTGTACATGTGTGTACATGTGTGTGCACATGTGTGTGTGTGTTTACACCCGTGTCTGTGCACGTGGCCTCAGGCCAGGGGCTGCCGCAGGGCGTGGGCAGCGTGGGGTGGGTGCCAGCCCTTCTGTGCCCCCCCCAACAGGCAGAAGGGCTGCTGGGATCCCTCTCCCAGCACCCCTCCCTGCCCAGGGGGGCTGTGGTGGCACTCAGCAGGTGACTGGGAGGGGTCTGGGGGGGGCAGTGCCACCCTGCTGCCCCCGTCCCCTCTCCTGAAGCTCCATCTCTCCGGCAGGACGATGGTGAACGCAGCCTTCACGGAGATCCGGGAGGCAGCCTTTGCCCACATCCCTTCCCTGCAGTTCCTGTACGTCCCCCTGCTCCCCCAGCCGGGCGTCCCTGATGCCCTGGGTGCCCACCCAGCGCTGACACCTCCCCCCCTCTCTCTCGGCAGACTCCTCAACTCCAACAAGTTCACGCTGATCGGGGACAACGCCTTCGCCGGGCTCTCGCACCTGCAGTACCTGTGTGTGGGACGGGGATGGGGACACAGGGCTGGGGACAGCCCCTGGGAGGGCGGGGGGTCCTCGGGGCAGCCGTGCCACCTTCTCCTCCCACCGCAGGTTCATCGAGAACAACGACATCCAGGCTCTCGAAGGGCACCTTCCGCGGGCTCAAGTCCCTGACACACCTGTGAGCACGTGGGGGTCCTACAGGGGACACGGTAGGGGTGGCTTTGCCAGGGATGTGTCTCCGTGACCCTTTCTTGTCTCACAGGTCCTTGGCCAACAACAACCTGCAGACGCTGCCCCGGGACCTCTTCAAGCCGCTGGATATCCTGAGTGACCTGTGAGGCTGCCACGGCACCGGGGACCCCTGGGACACCGGGCTGGGGAGAGGGTGACATCCCGGGGCTTGGGAGGAGGGCCTGGGGCCTGGCAGGGACCCCTGGGGCACGAGGCTGGGGAGAGGGTGACATCCCAGTGGGTGCTGGGGGTGACTCGGTGCCATCCTCGGCAGGGACCTGCGTGGCAACACGCTGGCCTGCGACTGCAAGATCAAGTGGCTGGTGGAGTGGCTGGAGGGCACCAACACCACGGTCCCCGCCGTCTTCTGCAGCAGCCCCGGGCAGTTCGAGGGGCAGCGGATCCGGGACCTGGCGCTCGGTGACTTCCAGTGCATCACCACAGGCAAGGGGCTGCCACCACCCGTCACCCCGCTCCTGGGTGGCCAGGCCCTCACCGCCACCTCTCCCCTCCCCAGATTTCGTGATGCACCAGGTCCTGCCCTTCCAGGCGGTGTCAGCTGAGCCCTTCACCTACGCCAGCGACCTGTACGTGGCCCTGGCACAGCCCGGTGCCAGCAGCTGCTCCGTCCTCAAGTGGGACTACGTGGAGCGCAAGCTCCGTGACTTCGACCGCATCCCTGGTAAGGCAGCAGGGCTGGGGGGGGGGATGATGGGACCCTCATTTTGGGGTGGGATGGGGGAGGGCACAGCCCTGACGTGCCGCGGTCCTGCTGGCAGCTCACTCGGCCGTGCACTGCAAGCCCATCGTGGCGCAGGACCAGCTCTATGTGGTGGTGGCCCAGCTCTTCGGCGGCTCCTACATCTACCGCTGGGACACGGCCGTGGACAAGTTCATCAAGATCCAGGACATCGACAGCCAGAAGGTCCGCAAGCCCAACGACATCGAGGCCTTCCAGATCGAGGGGGACTGGTACTTCGTCATCGCCGACAGCTCCAAGGCGGGCTCCACCAGCCTCTACCGCCTCAACCAGAACGGCTTCTACTCCCACCAAGCGCTGCACGCCTGGCACCGCGACACCGACGTGGAGTACGTGGAGAACGACGGCAAACCCCGGCTGATCATCTCCAGCAGCTCCCAGGCGCCCGTGATCTACCAGTGGAGCCGGGCGCAGAAGCAGTTCGTGGCGCAGGGCGAGGTGGGGGAGATGCTGGACGTGCAGATGGTGAAGCACTTCAGGTCCAAGCGGGACCAGTTCCTCTGCCTCAGCCGCTACATCGGCGACTCCAAGGTGGTGCGCTGGGAAGGGCAGCGCTTCGTGGAGGTGCAGACGCTGCCGTCCCGCGGCTCCATGGTGATGCAGCCCTTCGCCGTGGGGCAGCGGCAGTACCTGGCGCTGGGCAGCGACTTCTCCTTCACCCACGTGTACCTGTGGGAGGAGGAGAAGCAGAAGTTCGCCAAGTTCCAGGAGCTGTCGGTGCAGGCGCCGCGGGCGTTCCGCTACGTGCCGGCCGCCGACGTGCAGCTCCTGCTGGCCCCCAGCTTCAAGGCCAACACGCTGGTGTACCGGCACGTGGTGGTGGACCTCAGCCTCTAGCCGGGGCTTGGAGTTCTGCCCCCGCCCCTGGAGGGACGCCACGTCCTGCCCGAGGACATGCATGTGCCCACCGTGCCCCACCCCACGGTCACAGCCCTCTCCCGGCCCCACTCCCGGCCCCCACGGCGTCACCCACCACCCAGGGCAGCTCCCACACCCACAGTGCCTCAGTTTAACCCCCAGTGCTCCCAGTTTCTCCATGTGCAGGTCCCACAGCCGTCCCGTGGGGTGCAGGGAAGGAGGGTGGGACAGCCCTCGCACCCCCGGGGGGCCAAGGGGGTAGGGGGTGGCAGGGGGGGTCTCTGCCCACTTGGGTGATGAGCTTGGGGGGGGCACAGAATGGGGGATTTGTATGGGAAGGGTGGGGGGCTCCCAGGAATTTGGGGTGTTCCCAGGTTAAGGAGGTGCTTCGGAGAGGATGGGATGGCTGAGGTGCAGGGGTGGGATGGGATGCCATGAGGACAATGGGATGGGATGCCATGAGGACAATGGGATGGGATGCCACGAGGACAATGGGATGCCACGGAGATGCTCCGAGGATGATGGGATGCTCCAAGCTGGATGCACCTGGAATGCCCGGAGGACAATGGGATGCTCTGAGGACAATGGGACCGTGAGGCCAGCAGATTCTCTGAGGTGGATGCCCTGAGGACAATGGGATGCCCCGAGGCAGCAGCAGGGCTGTGTCCCATCCCCCTCCGTGCACATCCAGCAGCTCCCTGTGCCCAGGCAGGGGTACCCGAGGTGTCTGTGCCCACCAAAACACCCCCCAATAAACACACTGTGACCCCCAGCCCTGCCTGTGTCTGCCAACACCTCCCAAGCGTCCTTCCAGACACTCCTGCTCCTTCCAGTCCTGCCCCGCCCAGCATCCCACAGCACCGGGAAGGGCGAATCCCTCATTTTAGGGTGCTCCAGGCCCCTCACGTGGCTTGCCCGGTGTTTTTATTTCCAGCAGATACCTTGGCCCGCGGTGGGGGTGGGAAGCAGGAGGTGTTTCCCCAGGGGAGGGGATTCTCCGCCGGACTGGTTTTCCAGGGGAGCTTTTTCCCTGTCTCCCGGGGGTTGTAAATATGCATGTGAAAAGCCGCCAATTAGGCTCACAAATAAAGATCCTCTCAAACCAGCGGGCGCCCCCGGGGCACAGATGGATTAGGGGAGCAGGATTAGACCTGGGCGGCTGCAGAGCCAGAACCTGGCGGCTCCCGGAGGATTTCCACACTTCCCTGCCTCAGTTTCCCTACCGGGAAAGGGCAGATTTTAAAGCCCAGGGAGCACTGCAGGGGAGTTCTGGCACCTCCACGGTGTCCCTGACTGGGATGGGGGAGCTGGGAAGCCCTGGAACGCTCCGGGGGCTGCAGAGCCAAGGGGAAGGTGGCCCAGAGAGGAGATTCCAGCAGTTCCTGGTTTCCCTGGAGCATCTCGCGGGGCTCTGCAGAGCCCTGGCCCTGGTTCAGCAGCACATTTGATAGAAAGGAAAAAAAAAATCCGCGTAAAAAAATTAATTTTCTTAATATTTTTAAAAATATTATTATATTAATTATTATACTAATATTTAGTATTTAAAAGCCATATTTGGATTTTTTAAAAGCGGGAATATTTAATACACTTTTTATATAATATCTTGCATATTAATACGTTAACGTTTACTATATTAGGAATAACGTATTATTGTCTGTAAAAAAGAAATATATGATATATTCCTTTTAAACATAAGTACATAATATTTTAATTAAATATATATTTATAAATATAAAGGTATTGATGTTTTTAATAAAATATTATTTATTAATATAGAAATATAGAAAGTCAATATCATATATGAATATAGAAATTATTTATAGATAGTTATAATAATTTAAAGTAATTAACATTTATATAAATATTAATGTACATATAAAATATCATATAAACATTAACCCATTATATATTAAAAATACGTTTTAACACTGATATATTGTATATCGTACATTAATATTTCACGTATTAGGGGAATTTTTAAACATAAAAATGCGATCTATTGAAGCTCCGGGAACCACAGCGACATTTTTAAGGGTCGCCGTTGCCCTTTTAAGGCGCGTTGCCCTTTTAAGACGCGTTGCCCTTTTAAGACGCGTTGCCCCTTTAAGAGCGGGCGGTGGGGCCCGCACGGCGGCTGCGCCGGTCGGTGCCTCCAACATTCAACTTTTGGGATTCGTTTCCCCGGGGGGGCGGCTTTGGGGGGATCTTTGGGAGCCCCCAGGGCGGGCACAGCGCCCACCCTCCCGCCCGGCACCATCCGAGGCTCCGGCCCCGCCCGCACCATGGTGTCCTGGATCCTCAGCCGGGTGATCGAGTGAGTGGGGTCCGGGGGGGTGTGATGGGGAGGGGTGCGAGGTGGGGGAGCCCCCGGGGGGCTCTCAAAGGATCCCCGATCCCCTGTCCCCCCGCCGGCTGTTCGGTTAACGGGAGGTCCCCGTGCCGGCCCCGCAGCGGGGACTTAACGGAGCAGCCCCAGGCGGGGATGGGGTGGGGCGGCCCCAGATCGCTTGTAGGGGGATAACCAGCCCCCTGCCGGCACCCCCAGTCCTGAAAATGCGTCCACGAGCTGCTGCCGACCCTCCCTGCCCGTCCCGGGGGGCGATCTCGGCCTGGGGTCCCCCTGCATCAACTATTGGGGGGTTCCCCTGTACTGCCCCGGAGGGGTCCCTGCATCGCCCTGGAGGAGGGGGGCGTGCTCAGAGGGTCCCCGCATTGCCTGGGAGGGGTCTCTGCGTCGCTTTGGAGGGGTTTCTTGCTCAGAGAGGTTCTTTGCATTGCCCGAGAGGAGTCCCCGCATCACCCAAAGGGTCCCTGCAGCATCTGAAGGGGTCCCTGCTGGGGGTCCTCACCTTGCCTGGAGGGGATCCCTGCTCGTAGGGTCTCCACATCACCCAGGAGGGTCCCTGCATCAACTGGGGGGGCCCCTGCATCATCCGGGGGGATCCCCTGCACCACCGGGAGGGTCCCCACATCCAGCCCTGACCCCCCACCCCATCCCCATTCGCCCCCCTGTCTCCCACGCCGCTGGCCAGCTGGGCTGGGTGCCCAGTGGCCCCCCGTGCCCGGGGAGCCCCCCGTGGGGCAGCAGGGAGCCGTGGGTGCCCCCAGCTCCCCCTGCCCACGTACGGGAGGGTGTTGGGGTGCCCGGCACACGAGGTGGGTGTTTTGGGGGCGGCACCCCGGGAGGGGGGCTGGCACCGGCGGGGACCGAGCCCGTGCCCTGCCACCGCCCCGACAGGTCCAGCCAGTCCCCGTGGGCGTGGGAGTGACTCGGTGCTCATGGCCGGCTCCCCACGGCGGCTGCCGGGTGGCTCCGACCCTTTTCCCGACCCTTTTCCCGACCCTTTTCCCGGCGGCTCCGGGATGGGGGCGGTTCTGGGGAGGGTCAAAGCCGGGCTTTGGCGCTGGGGCCGCCGGCTCTGCTGGTCCCTGTTCCTGCTGCTCTACGCGGGCTGGCCGGGCTGCCTCACCCCCCCTCTGCGTTACAGGCTGGTTTTTGGGATGCTCTACCCGGCCTACGCGTCCTACAAGGCTGTGAAGGCCAAAAACATCCGGGAATACGTGAGTAGCCCCTCACCTGGGCTCCAGCCCTGCTTCCCGGGCTCCAGTCCACTTTTCCTTGGCTCCAACCCCTCCTTTCCCTGGGCCCTTCCTGAGCTCCCCTTTTCCCTGAGCTCCAGTCCCCTTCTTTCTCTGGCCTCCAGTCCCCAGTCCCTTTTCCTGGGCTCCAGCCCTCCCTTGACGTGCTCCCTGCTCCCACAGGTCCGATGGATGATGTACTGGATCGTCTTCGCCCTCTTCATGGCCACAGAGACCTTCACTGACCTTCTCATCTCCTGGTGAGCTGGGGACGAGCTGGGAAGGAGCTCATTCCAAACCAGGCTCTGGGTGATCTGATGTGGAGTCCCCAGGGTCTGGGGGGAGCAGGACGTGCCTGTGTCCCCCACCCCACCCCATGGTGTCCCCCTGTGCCCCAGGTTCCCGTTCTACTACGAGGTGAAGATGGCCTTTGTGCTGTGGCTGCTGTCCCCGTACACGCGGGGGGCCAGCCTGCTCTACCGCCGCTTCGTGCACCCCACGCTGGCCCGCAAGGAGAAGGTGAGGCCTCCTGGCCTTTTTGGGGGACCCTCTGTGCCTGTCCTGGGCAGGGTCAGCCCCCCACCCTGAGCTGGGTGGGCTCCCAGCGAGGTGGCAACGCCCTGGGAGCTTGTGATGCCCTGGGAGGTGACAGTGCCCCAGGAGGTGATGATGCCCAGGGAGGTGGTGATTGCCCTGGGAGGTGACAACACCTGGGCAGATGGTGATGCCCAGGGATGTGACAATGCCCAGGGATGTGACAATGCCCCGGGACACGGACCCTGTGCACCCCCAGCACCGCCCACGGTTTGGTTTTCTCGGCAGGACATCGACACCTTCCTGGTGCGGACCCGGGAGCGGAGCTACGAGGCGATGCTGCACTTTGGCAAGAGGGGCCTCAACCTGGCGGCCACCGCCGCCGTCCAGGCGGCCACCAAGGTACCGGCACCGGGCAGGACCCTCCGCCCCAGGAGGATCCCTCCCCGGGATCAAACCCCTTTCTAGCAGGGCATCCAGGGAGGGGGCTATGGTGCAGATTGAGTAGTTTTTTCGCTGTTTGTCTCATGTCCTGCCCTCTGTGCCCCCCCCAAACCCAGAGCCAGGGCGCCCTGGCCGGGCGGCTGCGCAGCTTCAGCATGCAGGACCTGCGCTCCCTGCCCGACGAGGGCCCCGCCAGCTTCCAGGACCCGCTGTACCTGGAGGAGCAGGACAGCCGCCGGCTGGGTGAGCTGGGGAGGGGGGTCCCAGGGCTCAGCAAAGCCCAGGGGGGGGCCGTGGTGGCAGCTGCGGCGTCCCCTTTGTCCCCTCGGTCCCCAGGCTGTGTTGCAGCTTCGTCCAGCCGGCGCTACGAGAGCGAGACGGAGGACGAGGAGCCGTGGTCGGACTCGCAGGTGTCCCCTCAGCCTTCCCCGCGCCGGGATCACAAACCCCTGTCCCGCAGCCAGAGCCTGCGCTCCCTCAGGAAGGCCCCGGGAAAAGAGGTGCCCAACGGGAGGGGGACACGCCGTGGGGTTGGGGCCACGGTGGGGGGGTCCTGACCAGTCTCTACCCCTGCCCAGGGCTCTTCCCGGCTCCTGCGCATCCGGATCAGGAGGAAAACGACTCCCTCAGATCTGGACAGCTAAAAACCCCGGGAAACCTCTGCCAGGAGTCTTTACATGAGTTTGCTGCTGCGGCGTCGGGAAGGAGAGGCGGTTCCTGCATTCCCTGGGTGTGATGGGGGGAGGGTCCTGTATCCCTGGGATGGAGGGGGGTCCTGCATCCTGACACTGTAAATGCCTTCTGTGACCTCTGTGGCGCCTCGTGGAGGGGGCACCACCTCGCTGTGCCCACACACTGCTGCTCCCAGTGCCCCCTCCCAGACCCCCCAGCTTGGCGCTGGCGCCTCTCCCTGTGGGGTCTGTGTGTGTGTGTGTGTCCCCCTTTTCTGCCACCCCATGAACACTACACACGCTCTGGGGTCCCCTCCCATCCTGCCACCGTGCCTTGTTCCCCACATTCCCTTTCTCCCAGCAGCCAGGGCTGGGATGGGATGGGATGTGCCTTGTCCTTCTGAAGCCAAAGACTTTTGGGCCCCCCTCACCTCCAGACACAGACTGACACCCCCACACTTGAACCTGTTTTGGGGGGGGGGAACCTGGTGCTTCACCATTGCCTTGCTGGGCACCACATTCCCAGGCTTTTAACATTCCCCTCTCCCCCCAAAAAATAGGGGGTTTTGTACATGGAAAAATAAATAAATAAATAAATAAATAAATAAATAACTGCTGTTTCAGATTTTTGGAACCAGGAGTTGTCTCTGCTTTAGGCACGTGGGATCCCTCTGGCAGCCCCAGACTCTCCCAGGGAAACTTCCTGAGATTATTTTTCTCTTGGAGGATTGATCCTCCAGGATCAGTCTGAGATTCCTTCCAGGGCATCCTCCCAGGGTCTTTTCATCCATATTTCAGCTTCCAGGATGCCAGGTGGCAGCCCCAGACTCCTCCAGGGAAGCTTCCTGAGATGATTTTTCTCTTTTGGAGGACGATTTATCCTTCGGGATCCACCCGGAGTCTTTTACCACCCACTTGAGGACCCCCAGACCCCCAGGTCAGCCCTCAAACTTCCCAGGAAGGCAGCAGGGGGGTTGCTGGGCTGCTGGGATCCTGCAGTAGCCGCGTCCCCCACGGCGTGGCAGCAGCAACCCTGGCCCTGCTGGGACATCCCTGTCCCTCTGTCCCCGACCTGACATCCATCCCTCCTGGATTGTCCCTACGGCCCTGCCCACCCCCCCTGCCTCCAAACTCTCCCTGCTGGTGTTCCCACATCCCACCCGGGGGGTTCCCAACCCTGCCTGGGTGGGCACAAGTGGGTCGGGCAGGGTGGCACAAGGTGACCCGTGTGGCCTCCCCTGCCCCCCGGGCACCCGCCTGTCCCCCGGTGCCCCGTCCCTGGCACCAATCCCCTCGCTCCCAATCCCTCCTGCCCTCACCCCTCAGGTCAGCCTGTATTTTTAGCCCTTGGCTGCTTTCAGGGGGTCTTCCCAGGGCAGGGAGAGCGTCTGTCCCGGGCTGGAGCCCCTCCAGGGCAGGCTCCGAGGGGCGTCCCGGGGCAGGCAGGGGTGTTGGAGCAGCTTAGGTGGAGGTGGCTGGATTAGCCCCGTAAAACTGCCTGGGAGACGATTACTTAAAGCAGCGGAGAAGGAAGGCTGGGTGGGGACAGCAAGGGCCAGGGGGCTGCCTGTAATCCCCCTAAAGCCGCTTAGGGAGCGCGGTTCCTCCAAGGATACAGCCCAGGGAGGCTGCTGGGGCGACCTGGGGGTCAAGTGGGGGGTGTCTCCCAGGTTGGGGGACCCCAGGGTGTGCTGTCAGGGGCTGGCAGCGGCGTTGGAGCCCGAGCATTCCATCCCCAGGGTGGGGGTGGGATCGGTGATTCCCAGCTCAGCCAAAGTGAGACACACACACACACACACACACACACTGCTCCCAAGGTGTGTTCCTGGGAAGGGAACCAGGAGTTTTGGGCGCCCTGCTCTGGCAGGTCTGGTGTTCCCCGGGGGCTGGAACACAAGGAGGGGACAAGGCGGGGCGGCACAGCCTGTCCCCCATCCCAGGGCCGCGGCAGCCCCCGCGGGTGCCAGCGCCGATCCCAGCTGTGTCAGCGCACGGGCCTGTGCCAGGCTGCAGTCAGCAAAGCCCTAATCCCCTCCCGGCTCGCCTGGCACCGCCCCAGCACGGCAGTTTAAGCGCCTGACCTGAGCTCGCCCGCTGCCACAGTCCCCTCTGGGGAGGGGGTGCCAGGCTGAGCCCCGGTTGGCACCGCTGTGGGGACACCTCTGTCCCACCCCGGGGCAGGGTTGGTGCCCACTGGGGTGGGGTGAAATGGGGCTGGGGTGTCGCAGGAGGTCACGTAATCCGAGGTGGGGGCTCCTGGGCTGCATCCCCAGCAGGTTCAGGGAGGGGATTCTCCCGCTCTGCTCTGCTCTGGTGAGACCCCACCTGCAGCTCTGGGGGTCTCCAACACATCACAAGGTTGTGCAGCTGCTGGAGCGAGTCCAGAGGCCACAGAGATGCTCCAAAGGGCTGGAGCCCTTCTGCTCTGGAGCCAGGCTGGGAGAGCTGGAGAAGAGAAGGATCCAGGGAGACCTGAGAGCTCCTTCCAGGGCCTAAAGGGGCTCCAGGAGAGCTAGAGAGTGACAAGGGAGAGTGCCAGGACAAGGGGGAATGGCTCCCTGCCTGGATCCCTCGGAGCTGGCAGGGCCCGGGTGACCCGGGGCTGCTCCCTCTCCCAGCTGACAGGGACACGGCTGGTGCTCCAGGGAATTGTGATGCCAACCCCGCGCCGTCAGTGCCCCCGGGACAGGCACTGCCCGTTCCCGCAGGGCAGCAGCCTCATGATCCGGTGCTTTGGCACTGCCGAAGGTCAGTGCCCCGGGTGCCATGGCCGGGCACTGCGGGGGTGTCACCTTGGCCCTGCTCCCTCCCCCGGGCAGTGCTGGGTCAGGTTAAGTGGGTTCATTACTCATTAATGGGATTTACCCTCCAGACCTTCCCCGGGGAGCTGCAGGGTGCTTGGGGTGCCACCCCCAGAGCCCCCCTGCACCCCTTAGCATCCCCCCACTCCCCCACTGCTGGTGGGGCTGGGAGCCCCCTGAGCCCCCCCAGACCCACACTGGTGACACCAAGTGACACATCCACGCTCCTCCAGCCACTCCCCCCCACACTGCCCCATTCCCAGCTCGTTTCACCCCACTACAGCCAACTGGGGGTGGGTTCTGCCCTTCTGGGGAGGGTTGTGTGAGATGCTGATGCCATCCTTGGGTTGCCCTCATCACCCTTAAACCAGCTGTTGGAGGGGTCCCTGGCAGAGCAGCACCCTCCCACGGGCTAGGGAGTGCTGGGGAAGGTCTGGACCCCCCGATGCTCTCCGGGGTCCCCCCACCAGCCGTGTCCCAATCCCCCCACCACCACTCTCGGTGCCCACTGCCTGAGTCAGCTGTTCCGGGCGGGAGCCATGTGAGGCCGAGCACACATGGCTCCCCGCGCGGCACCGCGCTGTATTTTTAGCAGACGGTATCAAAAGCATAATTATGTCTGTTGTTTAAACGCAGCCTCTTTTCTGGCAGCCCCGGGAGCTCTCAGCTGCCTCCCGCCGCCGCAGAGGGCAGGGAGGCGGGATGTGGAGCTGCAGGCAGCAGAGGGCTGCCCGCGGGCGGGGGGCGCGGGGGCTCGGGTGGGCGGGGGCTGAGACCCTCCCCGCCGCTGCCGGGCAGGTAGGACCGTCCTCCCTCATTATGGGGGTCAGCCAGCACTTCTTGCACCCCCACATCGTGTCCTCAAGCGCGCACATGCCCCCAGGCTGCCGGTGAACCGCTGATGAGGGTGAGGAGGAGGAGGATGGAGAGGAAGAGGGACGGCGGGTGGGGAAGCGCGGTGGTGGCAGGAAGGGTCGGGGAAAGGGCGTTCGAGGTGACGGGAGTGTGGGAGGACACGGCTGAAGGAACGCTGCTGCATCCCCTCTCTCCTCCCCGCAGCCGCCTGTCCCCCCGGGGACCCGTCTGTCCCCAGCCAGCCCGCGCTGGCACCGAGCAAGATTCCGGCTCCGTGTCCCTGCCGTGACACCGGAGGCTTAGGGCGAGAGGCGGGGGGGGAGGTTTGGGGACCACAGTCCCCCAAGCTCGGGGGGAACCGGACTCCACGCTCAGGGTGGTGCTGGGGACCCTTCTCTGGGCACCGAGGGGAAACTGAGGCACAGCATCCCAAAGCACCGAGGGAAAACTGAGGCACAGCATCACCGGGCACCGAGAGAAACTGAGGCACAGCCTTGCCAGCCTGCCCAGCACTCCTGACTCTCCTTTCCCCACACCGGGAGCGGTGCCACCTCGTCACCTGCCCGTCACCGGCTCCGGGGGCACCAGAGGGGCCCGGGCTGAGGGCAGGAGCCCCCGGAGGCTGCCAGGTACGTGCTGCCAGGAGCGCGGGCAGCTGCCAGCCCTGCCTGTGCGGCACGCAGGTGGCAGCGGGCTGCCCGTGTCCCTGGCTGCCGTCCTAAGCCCTTGGCCCCGGGGTGAGCTTTTAATTACATCAAGGTATTTGAAGCTGGTTCCTGGCGCTGGGTAAACAGGAGTCCCGGGCACGTGGGGGGGACAGAGGGGGGAAACTGAAGGCGAAGGGGTGGCACAAGACGGGCACTGTGCCCCCGCACCCGGGGCTTGCCGGGACGGCTCGTCCCGCCTGTCCTCCCCCGGGGGTTAGGAAGGAAAGGGATGCGGGCAAGGCAGAATCCAGCAGCATCCGCCGCGTCCTGCGTCCCCCCCTGCACCCCCGCGCTGGCACACGGGCATGGGGGGCACCGGCAAAGGTGGGTGGCTGCGACATCATCATCATCACCCCGGGTCCCCTCTGACGGGGAGGAGCTGCTCCATCTCCTGGCTGCATCCCAACCTTCCCCCCGGGGGGAAAAGGGGCGACCTGGGGTGGGGAGGGCGGGGGCTGCCGGGGTGCAGCCCCCCGGCCCGGTGGGGGGGCATGGGGGGAGAGCGGCTCGTCTGTGCCCAGCAGCGAAGAGAGCGGGATTAGCGATGCTTACTCACCTCCCCGGGGAAAAGCGGGAGATTAGGGGCGGGAGACGCGTCCGACCCTGCGGCGGCGGGGCCGTGCGGGGCCGGGGAGGCTGATCCGGCACCGGGACCGGGACCGGGGAGGCTGCCCAGGTCCCGCCGTACCGGCAGCCAGGGCTGGAGGGGAGAGCGGGCTGCCAGAGCAGTTGGGCTGTGGCCCTAATTCCCAGAAAGCTGCTCGTGTGGGAGTGAGTGTCCTCCCGTGCCCTCCGCTCCGCCGCAGCCTCCAGACTCCTGAAGGTTTGACGTGGGTTTGTTTTTTTTTTTTTCCTCCTTTTTTTTTTTTTTTTTTTTTTTTTTTTTTTTTTTTCTTTTTAATTTAAGCGCCGGGTGCAGATTAACAAAAGCTCTCGCGGCCATCGCGTCCGGTGCTGGGCACGGTGTGGGGGGGGGATCGGGGCTGCTTCCTCTGCCTGCGCCCTCAGCTTCCTCACCTGCGCCGCGGTGGAGGCAGGTAGGTAGGTGCGTGCCGGGCTCAGCGCCGGGGCTGGGAGGAGGAGGAAGGAGGAGGAGGAGGAGGAGGAAGAGGAGGAGGAAGGGCTGGGACTCTGTGTGTGCAGAGTGAACTCCGGTCAAGCCGGAGGGAGGGTCCATTTTGCGTAAGGAAAAGGCCAGATTTCAGGTTCTTCCTCAGCCAGGGGTCCCTGCGGGTCTGGGGGGTTCTGGGCCCTTTCCTGGGGGTGGCCGGAGTAGCTCTGGCCCAGGCAGGTGCCATGGGCACCAGGGTAGGGCTGGCAGGATCCTGGGCTGCTGGAGCATCAGCAGAGAGGGGCTGTTGGGTGCCAGGACCCCCATTCATCCCCCTCCCCAGCGCTGGGACATCCTGGGAACTCACAGGGCCATGCATCCCCCCCAGGATCCCATGGGGACAGCGTGGGGACAGCATCCCTCCACCCTGTGTCCTCCCAGTGTGTCCCCTGTGCTCCAGCCTGGAGCAGGGCAGGGATGCCAAGGGTTCTAATTCAGGTGTTTCCGACCTCCCTCGGCATCGCTCCGGCCAGTGCTCAGCTCAGGGGTGTTGACGTCCCTCTGATTTAAGGGAAAAACCAGGGATTTTGGAGCTCTGTGCCAAGCCACCATGGCAGAACCTCCCTGGAGGGCAGGTGGGGGGGTGTTACCTCCCAGCAAAGCCCAGCCTGGACCTCCCCAGATCACCCTGGGGGACCCTCTGTGGGTCGTGCTGGGACAGGCAGGGAGTGGAGGGACCACGGCCAGAGGTTGTGGGTGTGGGAGGCAGGCAGGGATCCTGCTCCTGGGATTGGGGGGGCTGTGGCTGAGCCCCAACAGAGCTGCCCACAGCGTGGTTATCCCGTGGGGGCTGTGCTGGCCCCAAGGAGGCTTCACCAGGGCCTCGGGCTCTCCAGCGCACTGAGGGCATCGAGGCGTGGGGAGGGGACAGTGCCTGGGGATGCTGCCCCAGTGCATGATGGGAAATTCCCTGCTGTCCCTCCAGCATCACTCTCCCTCCCCCCTGGCTCCCTGCTCTTTGCCCCTTGGGGCTCCCCGGTTTCAGGGTGGTGTGTCCCTTCCTCTCCCTGCTTGTCCCCTCCCTCACAACATTCCCAACATCCACGGCACCCCCTGCCAAGACCCACTCGGGATGCTGCAGACCCCTCCCAGAGCCCCTCCTGGCTGCCAGCTCCCCCCCCTCCCAGCCCTTCCGGATCCATCACTCCCGTGGAGCAGAGGGAGGGAATGGGAAGAGTTCATCTTTCAGCACCTTCTCATCGCAGGCAGGCGCGGGCTCTCCCTCGCCCCGAGCCCTGTCTGGGTCCCCTCCCTGTTCCCTGGCACCCAGTGGGTGCAGCGAGCAGCACCCCCAAACCCTCCCCTCCACAGAGAGCAGGGCTCCAGGGGGTCCTGCTGTGGGTTGACCCATGCTGGTGGTGGGATGGGGGCACCCAAATGCCCGCTGGCACGGCCAAATGACCCCGGTGGTGCCCAGTGCCCCAAGCCACGTCCAGCAAGGGTTAACCCTGGCTCCTGGCTCCTGGGGACCACGAGGAAGCTGCTGCTGAGCCAGGAGGCCGCCCCGTGCTCTGCTGAGGGCCCTGGCCTGCCCTCACCCCACCCTGTGTGCACCCAGCCCACCAGCCCCCCGTGCCGAGCCCTGCCCAGCCATTCCAGGGGAGCCGTGAGCAGGGATGCAGTTTATGTAAGGAGTGCATGTCCCTGGGACACACGCACGTTACATAAACCTGCACGGCACTGCTGCCATCAGCACCACCTCAGCGGGAGCCCAGGAGAGGGGGATCCACCTGGGGGAGCCCCCTGGACCTGCTCCCCCCTCTCCAGGGCTGGAGCATCGCTTGGAAGGAGGGGGGTGTAGCAGCTGGTGGGTTTGGGGTCAGGGTGTCTTGGTGCTGGGGGGGGTCCCAGTGCTGGGAATGGTGCAGGGAGCACTCACGGGGTGCCAGTTCTTGCCTGGTGGGCTGCAGGGCATGGCTGGGATGGGTGTGATCCTGGTGGGCTGCAGGGCAGGGGTTTAAGTGGCCCCCCGGGTACTCCCTCCTCATCCCTGGGCAGGACAGCACCACGGGGATGCTGCCACAGCAGCCCAGTGCTCCACAAATCCCCTCTGCACCCCTTGGAGCACATCCTGCTCTTCCCACCTGGCTGCCACCGTGTCTGCAGGGAGGCAGAGGAGCTCTGCCTTCATCCCAGGCCACCAGAGCAGGGATGGACAAGGCTCTGGATGAAGGTGGCAGCACGGCTTGAGGCCAGATCCCTACCATTTGGGCAAAGGCAGAGGGGTCAGAGGTCCCAGGGGCTCCCATCCCATGGAGTGGGCCGCATGCTCCGTGCCGGACACGCCATCCCCACCCCCTCAGAGCCAGGACAGGGGGCGCTTGGCCCATCCCGGTGTTTCTCCCATTCCGGTTCCGCCCGGAGCGGGGCGGCTGGAGCCTTTCAGCGGTGACGGGGCGGCACCGCCGAACAAAGGGCGCTTTCTTCACCCGCACGGGGCAGAGCACACCTGCCCTGCCTTGGCACCGCCGCCAGTGCCCCCGGGGCTGGGCGGCACCGCCGGCACCGCGCCGATTCCCGGTTCCCGGGCGTCAGCAGCCCCAGCATCCCTCCCCCCCGCTCGCCCAGTCGCTGCCGGAGCCGGCGGAGGCTGCAGATCGCTGGGAGCGGAGCCACTGCCACCACCTCGTCCTGCTGTCATGCTCAGGGCTGCCTAGAGCCCGGGGAACGTCCCACTCGTGCTGCTCCCTGGATACCTCTCTCCCTGAATCCCGGTCCAGCGGGACCCCCCAGCTCTTAGGACAATAGGCAGGAGGAGCACGGAGCCCCCCAAGCCAATGGATCAAAAACTCCAGCTCCAGCACTCGGAGAAGAACATCCCCAGGGCTGCCCAGGCAGCTTTCTGCCTCCTCCAGATCCCGGAGCCGGACCCCTTCAGCCTGTGGGTCTAGGTGTTCCCACCCTCCCGGCCTTGCCTCTCCGGGATTTGGTGTCACCGGAGGAGACACCCGCTCGTCCTCGGCCGCGGGGTCCCTGATGGACCCTCCAGGTAGCTGTGGGGTGGAGGGGATGCTCGCCGAGCTGTGGGACCGGCTCCTTGTGCTCCCGATGGGGTGAAGGACAGGGGACAACGTCACCCTGGGGAGACCTCAGGGATGGGCTGTGGTGGGACAGCCTTGGGGCACCGGGGGGAAGGCTGGGAGCAGCGTCCTGGAGAGGAGGGGCTGGATGGGGGAGCCTGGCTGGGTCCTGCGCCTTGGAGGGGCGGGGTGGGTGTCCCCAGGGTGTCCCTGTGCTCCAGGGTGCCCCAGTTTGGACGGGGCACTCCAGGATGCTTCCCCAGCAGTGTGGGAATGGGGACTTTGCCCTCCCTGGGCACAGAGGATGTGACGGGGACAGGCGGCTCTGGGGACACAAACTTCTGTCCCCACCCTGCTCCTGTCCCCACCTTGTTCCTGTCCTCATCCCACTCTTGTCCCCATCCCGGCCATCAGGGCGGCTCCGCCCCACCCTGCGGCGGGACTGGGAGCTGGGTGACCTCGTGCCTGTCCCCCTTGGCTGTCCCGGCTGTCGCAAAGAGAGTGGGACAGGGGGAAGCGATGCCACCGCTGGCGCGGCGAGCCCTGGCTCTCGCACCCCGCGCCTGCGTGTGGCCCGGGTCCCGCAGGAGGGCTAATCCAGCAAAATCTCCGCAGGCATTTCTCCCAGGAGGGGCCCCCTGGGAGCGGGGAGCTCCCCCTTTTCTGGAAGCCCTCCTGGGAAGCGCAGCCCAGCCCTGGCCGGAGGCAAATACCTGCGCGGGGCACGGCCTCCCCACGCTGGGTGCCAGCGGCCGGGCGCGGGGCCAGGCTGGGTGCGGAGGGACGGGTGGGCACGAGGTGCGTCCCGGCCGCCAAAACCGCCGGGATTGGACGCAGGAGGGACCGGATGGGACGGCGAATACACACGCTGCAGACACGTGCCCTCCCTTCCCGGGTCGCGCTTCCCGAGGGATGCCGCCGGGACACACGGGAGTCAGGGATGCCCCCCCTCGCCATGCCGGAGGGATGCCCACCTAACACGGCGCGGGGGAGCTGGGGGCTTGAAAGCAACCCCCCCAGCGACACCCCCAGCCACCGCCGTGCCTCGGTTTGCCCGCGGCGCTGCCCGGGCAGGGCTCGGTGCTGTGTCCCGCTGATGCCCCTCTTCCTGCCCGCAGGGTCCGGCCAGCCCGGGACGGCGTTGAGCACTACATGAGTGTGGGAGCAGCATGGCCAGCGACGCGAGGATGGGGGAGACCCCGCCGCGGTGGAGAAGAGCCCCGGACGCAGCGCAGGACTCCCGGGGGATGGAGAGCAGCGGGATGGTCTTATCCCGAAGCGCTGCCGCCGAGCTGGGACTCCCGGGCTACGCGGAGCCCGGCAAGCTGAGCTACGGGATGGAGAAGGGGTGTCCCTGGAGGGGCTCCGAGGGATGTTTGGGACCCGTCCGGGAGCTCGCTGGGGGTCGGCTGGGTTGTCCCTACCCCCCGGCCCCGCCGTGCCTGCGGGACGCCCTGTGCCGCCCCAAGGACGGGGCCGAGCTGCCCCCGCTGCTGCCCCCCAGGAACGGGCAGCCCAAGGCGGGCTGGGGGGAGCCCTGCAAGGACCACCCTGGGCCGCGGTGGGCTGAGGCCGTGCTGGCCCCCCTGGCCCTCTACAGCCACGCGTACCACCGCTACCCCCTGCCCGTGCCGGGGTTGGACCCTCAGCGCCCCGGCACCGCCGGCAAGCCCCGAACGGCCGCGGGGGACACTGCCGGAGACCCCCCGGCTTTCCGCCACTGCCCCTTCCTCGTGGAGGCCAAGCACAGCCCCTTCCTCCTGTCCTCGCTGCTGCCCACCGGACCCCCGGCCGAGCCCCCGTTTGGCGGCGCGGGGGCGGAGGCGCCGGGGGCGATGGGGGACGGGCGGTTCGCCGGCGTGGACTGGCGCCTGGGCTCCTACGCGCCCGCCTGGGGACAGCCCCTCTACCTGGGGGTCCCGCCGAGGTGCAAGGCGGCCCTGCCCCCCTTCGACGACTGCTCCAGCTCAGGGAACAAGGTAGGACGCCCCGGAGAGCGTGGATGGTCGGGGGTCCCCGGGCGACAGCGGGCTCCAGCCCCCCACACCTCTCTCCAGCTCGTCAGGGGGGTCCCAGCTCCCCACGAGGGACGGGGTGACACGCCCCTGGGGTGATGCTGTGCTCCGCGGTGTCCCCGCGGGTGATGCCACCCCCGGGGCTGAGTCACGGCGGCAGGAGCCGGCGGGGGCGGCGGGAGGCAGCGCTGCCAGCCCTGGGTGCGCCCGTCGCACCCCGTGCCTCTGCGGCTCCCCATTCCTTTCCCACGCTGCCGCGGGGGGCGGGGGATGGACACACAGGCCCCCCCCCCCATCACTGGGAAGCGCCGGGGTTGCCGCCCCGCTCAGCAGCGTGGCGGGGAAACTGAGGTAGGGCCGCGGGATGCTCCCCATCATCCCCCCGGGGTGACAGGCAGTGACAGGGGACCCCCGCCACAGCCGGGGTGACACCAGCCCCCTCTGCTCCCTTGGCAGGACTTTTACCCGAAGAAAGAGCCCGGTTTCCACGCCCCCGCCAAGGACCACGCGGCGCCGCAGTTGCTGGGCAAGAGCCCGGCCGGCCAGGACAGGGACGGGGACGGGGAGCCGGTGGTGCCGGAGCCGCCGGGAGCCCCCTGGAGGGATGGTCGAGCGGGGGGGAGCTCGGCGGTGCCCCCTCCCCAGGCCCGCACGCCTCCCCCCAGCGCCAGCCACCCCCTCTTCCTCCTGCAGCCCGGCGCGGGGGGCTGCGGGGGTCCCTGGGTGAGCGCACGGCCCCACGGTGCAGATTTTTCCATGGAAACAGGGCCAGGACGGCCCTCGGAGCCCAAAGATGAGCGCCTGGGCTACCAAAGCCTCCAGCCCGGCTCGCCACCGGGATCCAGAGAGCCCAACCAGGACGGGCACTACCCCCAGACTCTGGCCAAGCCGGAGCCCCCCCCAGCCTGTCTGTGCCCCACCCCGGGCTGCGATGGATGCCCGGGGGTGGGCTGCAGGGTCCCCAACCCCTTCGAGCCCACCCTGGGCATGCCCGGGGGGCGCTTCCCGTGCCCCCCCAGCAACCACACCAAGCTGAAGAAGACGTGGCTGACGCGGCACTCGGAGCAGTCGCTGCCTCGCCTCAAGGCTGCCCGGCGGGACGGGGGTCCCGAGCCCCCCGGGGAGGGCAAACGCTCGGCCAAGAGGCCCCACGGCACCGCCGAGGGACCCCACGCTGCCAGCGAGGGCGCCGGGGCGGCCAAGAGGGGCACGAAGGCCACCGGGGATGGCCCAGAGAGCAGAGGGGACCCCGAGGAGAGGAGGATGGAGCTGGGAGAGGGAGGTAAGGAAGGAGGGTGCTCGGTGGGGCTGGAGACAGGGTGGTGGCATCACCCAATCCCAAGGGGAACTTTGTCATCCCTGCTCCTGGTACCCACAGCACGAGCTGGGCACACGTGAGGGCTGGGAAAGCCGCTGAGCTGGGGCTTTCCCTGGCATGACTGGAGTCTGGCAGCGATTCCCAGGGCAGGAATGGATGGAAACGCTCCTTTGGGGCAGCGTGGCACCCTCGGGTGGGATGCCTGGGGCGTGGAAGTGCCGTCACTGGGTCAGTGATTCCCCAGGGAGGTGTTGGCATCTCAGCCCTGACCTCTGCAGAGCTCCAGCCCTACTTTCCAGCCCTACTTTCTGGCCCAGTTTCCAGCCCCCGCCACAGCGTGCCAGTCATAGAATCCCATAATCCTGGAGCAGTTTGGGTTGGAAGGGACCTTAAAGACCACCTTGTTCCAACCCCTTGCCATGGTCAGGGATACCTTCCACCAGAGCAGGGTGCCCCCAGCCCCATCCAGCCCGGCCCTGGACACTCCCAGCCCCTCCTGGCTGGCGTGGATGGGGCTCCACGGTGTCCCCAAGCACTCCCCGTGTCCCCCAGAGCCGCTGAGCCGGCAGGAGCCGTGGTGCCTGCAGAGCCTGCCCTGCACTGCGCTGCCCCAGGGCATCCCTCGCTGCTGTGCCTGTGCCCCCCGGGTCACAGGGGACCCCCAGGATGAGGAGGAGGAGCCCCCCGAGAGCACCTGCAGGCTGCTGCACTTCCGCAGGTGAGCCCAGGGCTCCTGGGGAGCTCACAGGGTGGAGCATCCCCTCCCATCATCCCACTTTTTAACGTCTCCTCCTTGGAGCATCCCCTCCTTTCACCCCTCTTCGCAGCCACCTCTCCTGCCACCCCATTTTGGGGCACTCTCCCCGTCATCCCCATCCCTTGAGAGCGTCCTGTCCCTGCCCCATCACCCCACTTCAGAACACTCTCTCCCACCACCCTACTTCAGAGCATCCCCTCTTCACACCATCCCCCCTCACCTCTTCATACTGACCTCTCCCGTCACCCCACTTTAGAGAATCCCCTCCCACCTTTGAGGACCCTCTCCCATCACCCCGATTTTCAGCCTCCTTGTCTCATCACCCCGTTTCTGAGCCCCTCTCCTGCTCCCCTCTCTCTCTGCACAGGTTCGCCCTGGGGGACAACGGGGAGCTGAGCGTCGATGGTCTCTGCACCCTGGGGGAGGCCGAGGGCGAGCTGCTGGAGGAATCCGGCCCTGAACCGGGGGGCAGGAATGTGGGGAGCAGCCTCTGCCTGGCCAAGTACCTCCTGGGGGTCCTGGGGGACCCCTTCTGCGACGCCGTCCGCAGGGACAGGGACACGTGGCCGGGAGCCCCTGGTGGGCCCGAGGGTAAGGGGGCACCGGGATAAGGGGGACACTGGGGGACACTGGGCACACTGGGGAGGCTGAGGCTGTGCTTCCTGCAGGGGGCACGGCCTGGAGGAGGGGGGAAGGAGCCCCCCAGCTCTGCGACGCCTGCCAGCGTGGCTTCTTCAACTCCCACTGGAGCTGCGCCAGATGTGGCTTCCAGCTGTGCCCCGACTGCCACCGCAGCAGGAGGGAGGCTGACGGCCCCGGTACGTGGAAAGGGGTTGGGGGGGGATGAAAAGGGGGTGTCAGCCCTGGGGGTGGGGGCTCGGTGGGGACGAACACACCCTGTCTCTGATGCAGAGGGTCCAGCACAGCCGCCTGAGTGCACCCCCGGGCGAGACCACCCCGTCACAGCCCTGGTCCCCACGCAGTTTGTCCCCACCTGTGGTGAGTGTGTCCCCCAGCCCCGGGACCCCCTCACCCTGCCCCCATGCCCGCTGCTGGGGGGCTGACACCCTTGTCCCTGTTGTCCCCAGTCCTGACCAGGCTCTGGAAGCTTCTGCATGAGGTCAGGGCCAAGTTTGGCATCGAGTCCCACTGTCCCTGTGGGAGAGGGGCTGCGGAGCAGAGCCCGGCCGAGCCCCCGGGCAGGCAGGTACGGGAGGGAATTTGTGGATGGGGGGGGATAATGGGGTGCAGGTGCACCCCAACCCCTGCACAGAGTGTCTGTGGGGGGGTGTGTGGGATGTGGCTCCCCTCTGACACCCACATGGGTGTTCCAGGAGCCGCCGGGGCTGCGGTGCCCACCCTGCCACCTCCCAGCCGCGGCCAAGCCGACCCCTCCCGGCCCATCAAGGAAGGTAGGGCCGGCTGCGACCCCCCCGCCGTGGGCACAGCCCCACCCCGGGGGGGTCAGGGATGCTGCACCCCCTCCCTTTCTCGGGGTGCTGGGCAAGGGGGGTGAGATGCAGAGGGCGGCGTGGGCGACCCTGACCGTGTTCTCCCCCTCTGAGCAGAGAGCCCCGAGGTGGGGCCGCCGTCGCCGGGGCAGCCCCCGGCGCGGGGGGCCGTGCAGACCACCACGCTGTGCGACCTGCTGGCCTCCACCGCCGTGAAGCTGTGCCTGGGGCAGGACGGGGTGCGCATGGCCTTCGCCCCCGTGGTGCCCACCCTGCCCAGTGTGAGTCCCCGGGGGCAACCAGGGCACCCCTTCCCGTGCTATGGGGGGGTCAGGGTGGGCTGAGGGTCTCCCCATTGTCCTGCTCTCCAGGACAACCGCCTGACCAGCATCCTGGACAGCATCATCGCCCATGTGGTGGAGAGGAAGATCCAGGAGAGGCAGGCAGGGGGGGCGAGCTGAGCCCGCCCAGCCCCCCTGAGCCCCCCGCGTCCCACTGCGTGCTGGAACCCAGCGGGCTGCTCTGGCTGCACGACCCCGGCCACGCCAGCAACTACAAACTCTTCCAGGAGCACTGGCGGCAGGGCCAGGTGAGCCCCCCATCCCTTGGGAGGAGTGTGGGGACACCCGGGACCCCCCACCCCCAGCCCTGCTGAGCCCTGGCTGCCCCGGCAGCCCGTGCTGGTTTCAGGGCTGCAGAAGAGGCTGGAGGGGCGGCTCTGGGGGCCGGAGTCGTTCCGCCCAGCCCGGGGGGAGCAGGAGGTGGAGGCGGTGAACCTGCGGGCACCGGCGAGCCGCGTCCGCCTGAGCAGCCGGCGATTCTGGGATGGCTTCACCGCCAGCGCGGGTGAGCAGGGTGAGGAGTTTAGGGGGTGATTTTGGGGTGAGGTGTGAGGGGAGCCGGGCTGTGCCCCCCTCCGTCCCTCCATCCCTGTGCGTGATGCCGGGCTCCCTCCCACAGCATCCCCGGAGCAGGAACAGGGCGCTGGGGACCTGCTGAAGCTGGAGAGTAGCCTTGGGGACATGGAGCTGAGCCGGTAGGTGGGGGCAGAGGGTGGGTCCCCCTCTCCCTGACCTCCCCACGCCACTGCTGGGGGCTGCAGGGCGGCTCTGCCCTCGCCTTGGTGGCCAAATTGTCAAACACCCCCTCCATGCAACAGGGCCACCAACCTGCGTGCCAGCCTGCCCCTGCCCGAGTACTGCGGGGCCAGCGGCCGCCTCAACCTGGCCACCCACCTGCAGGGCCGGCGGGGCCGGCGCTGGCTGCGCCCCCGCGTCTGTGCAGCCTACGGTGAGTCTGCTGCGGGGGCTCTGGGGGGCACCTGGGCTCCTCCCTCACCGCAGGGACCCTCAGCACTCACCCAGCACCCCGCTCCCACTTCCAGGCGTGCGCCCGCGGGACCGGAACGTCGGGACTAAAAACCTGGCGGTGGAAGCGGCCGATTCCATCAACGTGCTGGTTCATGTGGAGGCGGCACCGCGGGGTACGGGGGGGGAGCACTGGGGGTCCCCCCACACCTCCCTCCCTGCCCGGCCTCCCCCCTGATCCCCCCCATCCCACCCACAGAGGCGCTCCCGCACAGTGACACGGGTGACACGGACGACATGGACGCGGCGCTGCGGGAGCGGCTCAAGGACACGGCGGGGGCCCGGCCCGGGGCACTGTGGCACATCTTCCGTGCTGAGGACGCCGTGCGGATCCGGCAATTCCTGCGCGGGGTGAGTCCCGGGGGGGACCAGGGCACCCCCTCCCGTGCTGCCCACGTGGTGCCTTTGGATCATCCCCGACCCTGGTGGGATGAAGGGAGACTCCCGAGATAAGTGCTTGTGGTGCCACTGGAGCATCCCTTGTCCTGTTCCGGCCCCCCTCTCCCAGCTCCACTCACCCCTGGCACCCTACAGGCATCCGAGGAGCCGGGGCAGGAGGAGGGGGAACGGGGGAGCCCCCTGGGTGCTCCCTGGCCCCCCCAGGGCGGTACCTGGACGCGGCGCTGCGGAGGAGGCTGCGGGAGGAGTGCGGGGTGAGCGGCTGGACCCTCCTGCAGTGCCTGGGGGATGCCGTGCTGGTCCCCGCGGGGGCTCCCCACCAGGTAGGAACCCCTGAACCCCCCCTCCCCCTGAGGGGAGGCAGCTGTGCCACCCCCACCCCCTCCCAGTGTGGAAACTGAGGCAGTGACCCCTCCACCGGTGCAGGTGCAGACCCTCACGGGCACCATCAGCGTGGAGCAGCGGTTCCTGTCCCCGGAGAGCTCCGCCCGCCTCCGCCAGCTCGGCCCCGATCCCGATCCCGCCGGGCCCACGTGCCAGCTCCCAGCCCAGGTGGGGGGTCTGGGGTGTGTGTGCAAGGGGGGTCCCGGTGCGGGGTGAGCTGTTCTGACCCCCGCTCTTTGCACTCCCTGCAGCTGGACGGGATGATCTTCTCGGCCGTGCGGGAGGCGCTGGGGGTCCTGCGGGGCTGCAAGTGAGCCCGTGGAACGCTGGAAGGATGCCCTGAGGAGTCTGGGATGGGGGCTGGACACAGGCCTGGAGCCCTGGGGAGTTGGGAGCGGGCGCCTCCAGCTCAGGGCTTCGCTCCAGGATCTCCCAGGAAGGCTCAGGGCGGGAGAAATAAAGTGTGCCGGGGGCACCGGCGCCACCAGTGCTGCCTCGGGGTCTGCCTTCATCCCCCTCCTTCCCATCGGGGTCAGGGATGCTCTGGGGGCACCGCCAGCACTGCCTTGGTGTCTGCTTTCATCCCCCATCCGTTCCATCACAGTCAGGGATGACCCAGTGGCACCACCAGCATTCCCCCTCCATCCCACTGGGGTCAGGCATGATCCAGTGGCATCACCAACACCTGCCCTGGTGTCTCCCACTATCCCATCAGGGTCAGGGATGATCCTATGGCATCACCAGCATTCACCTGGGGGTCTCCCTTTCATCCCCCTCCATCCCATTGGGGTCAGGGGTGATCCTATGGCATCACCAGCATCCCCTCTTCATCCCATTGGGCTCAGGGATGTTCCAGTGGCACCACCAGCATCCCTCCGCCCCGTCCCATCAGGGTCACGTTGGGACATCTCCCCTCGTCCCCCGCCATCCCACTGGAATCAGGGAGGCTGAAACAGCACCGGGCAACCAGCAGGGCGCAGTTAATCAGCACGAGGCTATGGGTAAAATTAATTCTCACGACGCCACGCGCTCCGCGCGGCCCCTTTAAGGCCAAGCCGCGCCCTGAGTGAGTGACAGCCGGGTCAGCCAATGGGAATGGAGGAGCCGCCGCGGCGCCGCCAATGGGCGGCGAGGGGGGTGGGCGGGCCGGCCCCGCGCGGCGGAGCCCCCGGCGCGGTGAGTGCGCGGCGCATGCGCGGGGCGGGGGGGGCTGCGGGGTCCCTGCGCCCTCCCCGCGACCCCGGACCCCCGCGACCCCGGACCGCCCCCGCAGCCCCCAGCCCCGCCCCGACTGCAGCCTGCAGCCCTCACAGCCTGCCCCTATTGCAGCCCGCCCTGAAACATCCCGCGCGTTGCACCCTGCAGCCCCCGGACCCTGATTGCGACCCCCGAAACCGTTCCCTTATTGCAGCTCCCCCAAAATATCCCCCTCGTTGCACCCTGCGGGCCCCCTCGACCCTGACTGCAACCCTCCCTCTTTTGTAGCCTCGCCTGCAGCCCCCCCCCAGAACATTCCCCCTACTTGCATCCTGCAGCTCCCCCCAACCCTTATTGCCGCCCCCCGACCCTGATTGCAACCCCCGAATCCTCCCTCTATTGCAGACCCCCAAAACATCCTCCCCATTGCAGCCTGCAGCCCCCGGCCCTTATTGCACCCCCAGCGCTTATTGCAGCCCCCCCAAAATCCTCCTCATTGCAGCCTGCAGCCCTCAAACCCTTCTCCTATTGCAGCCCCCCAACCATTATTGCAGCCCCCTAAATCTTCCCCCATAGCCCCCAACCCCCGGCCCTAGCACAGCCCCCAGCCCCTCCCGCCCCCACCATTGCACCCTGCAGCCCAGCTCGCCCCCCAGTCCCCCGCTGCCCCCACCCCATTCCCGTTCCCCCAGACTGGGACCAGCCCTTCCCCATCAGTGCCCTGCAGTCCCACCTGCCCTGGGACCCCAGTCCCCTCCCAGTTCCAGCCCCCGGGACCCCCAGCCCAGTGACCTCTTCTACCCCAGCCCAGGCATCCCCCAGTCCAGCAGGCCCTACCCCCCAGTATCCCCCAGTCCAGCCAGCCTTCTCCCCCCAGTATCCTCCAGTCAGGCCAACCCTTTCCTCCCAGTATCTTCCAGTCTAGCCAACCCCTTCCTCCCAGTACCCCCCAGTCAGGCCAACCCTTTCCCCCCAGTATCTTCCAGTCAGGCCAACCCTTTCCTCCCAGTATCTTCCAGTCAGGCCAGCCCTTTCCTCCCAGTATCTTCCAGTCCAGCCAACCCTTCACATCCTTCAGCTTCCCGTGCATCCTGCAGTCCAGCCAGCCCTTCTCCTACCGCAGCCCCCCGGCTCCCCAAATCCTGCAAACTCTTCCCGCCCAGCGCCCTGTGCCCCCTCTCCCAGTCCAGCCAGCCCTTCCCGTCCTGTGCCCCCCCATGCCTCCCCCAGTCCAGCCAGCCCTTCCCCTACCGCAGCCCCCCTCGGCTCCCCAGGCCTAGCGACCCCTTCCCCTTCTACCTGCCCCCCTACGGCCCCCTGGGGGTCCCCCAGTCCAGCAGACCCTTCCCCTTCTGCAGCCCGCCCTGCATCGCCAAGGCCACCGAGCTCTTCCCCTGCTACGTGCCCCCCCAGCCCAGCAGGCCCTTCCCCACCTACACCCCTCCCCATCCCGCAGTCCAGCAGGCCCTTCCCCTCCTCCAGGACCCCCCAGCCCACCCCACAATCGCCAGACCCCCTCCCTCACCAGCCCTTCCAGCCCACGCGCCGCCGGGGCTCTCCGTCCCCCCGCCTGCACGTCTGGGGGGTTCCCTCCCCTCCCCAAAACCCCACCACCCCCTGAGCGCGTGCTCCCCATCCCCATCCAGCCCCCTTTTCCCATGGGGGACGCCCCGACGGCGGAGCTGGACGCGGTGCTGGATGGGGGCGCTTGGGAAGTGGGGGCGACTTTCGAGGGGTCCCCCGCGCCCCCCGCGCCCGTGAGCCTGGGCAGGACCGTCTGCTACGTGGTGCTGGCCGTGCTGTTCAACGAGGAGGTGAGGCAGCCCCCCCTCCCCATCCCCGGTGCCCCCCGGAGCCCAGCAATGCCCAGCGAGCCCCTGGGTGCCCGCAGGGCGCGGTGCTGCTGGTGCAGGAGGCGAAGCCCGAGTGCCGCGGGAGGTGGTACCTGCCCGCGGGCAGGATGGAGCCCGGGGAGGGCGTCGTGGAGGCCCTGCAGAGGGAGGTGAAGGAGGAGTCGGGGCTGGAGTGTGAACCCGTCACGCTGCTGGCGCTGGAGGAGCGCGGCCCCGCCTGGATCCGCTTCGCCTTCCTGGCGTGCCCCGTGGGTGAGTACTGGGGGGCTGCGAGGGCACAGAGTGGGGACCCTGGTGTGACCCCTGCCAGCCCCATCATGGGCATCTGTGTCCCCTGCCACCCCTGTGGTGGGAATTGGCATCCCATACCAGCCCCGTGATGGATGTCCCTGTCCTGGGCCACAGCATTGGTGTCCCCTTCCAACCCCATGATGGGCATCCCTGTCCCTTGCCATCTCCATGATGGACATCCCTGTCCCCTGCCAGCCCTGTACCAGGTCACTGGTGTCCCCTGCCACCTTTGTGCCAGCCTGTGTCCCCCACCAGCCCTGTACCAGGGCATCACCATCCCCTGCCCCCACCAACCACCAGTCCTGGCATCCCCCTGACTCCAGTCTGGCCTATCAGTGTCCCACTACCAGCCCCACAACGGGGGTCTCACTCCCTCCCGCCCCATCCCCATCACTGGGCACTGCCACCCCTCTGCCTGTCCTGCCTCCCCCCACCCACCCCACCCCAGGCCCCTCCCTCTGCCCTCAGGTGGGACCCTGAAGACCCTGGAGGAGGCGGACGCCGAGTCGCTGCAGGCCCGCTGGTGGCCGGGGGACCCCCGCGCGCTGCCCCTGCGCTCCCTGGACATCCTGCCCGTGCTGGACCTGGCCGCCCGCTACCGCCGGAGCCCCCCGCACCCCCCGACCCTGCCCCGCGAGCTGCCCTGCGCCCCGCTCTGCCTGCGCCTGCTGCTGCCCTTCACCAGCGCCGCCGGCGACCTGTGGGTGCTGCTGGGCACCGCCGGGACCCCCCACCTGCCCGTGGTGGCCTGTGGCACGTCCCCCCCCGAGCTGCGGGCGGGGCTGTGCCGGCCCGCGCTGCGCCTGCTGCGGGACTGCCTGCCCTGGGACCCCTGCCCGGGGGTCCTGGGGCTGCTGGGGCTGCAGCACCGGCCTGGGGAACCAGGGGGGTCTGACGGCGTCTGCTTCAACGTGGTGCTGAGCGCCCCGCCCGCCGGCGCCCACGGGGACGTGCCCCCCGAGCCGAGTGACCCCGCGCTGCGCTGGTGGCACGTGGAGGACGAGGGGCTGAGGGGCCGCATCCTGCAGCGGCTCCGGGCCACGGTGCCCATCCGTAGTTAGTGCCAGGGGAAGCCTGGATTTGGGAATGGGGGATGAGGGGGGGGGACATGCATCCAGGGGTCACACTGAAGGTGGGAGCCCTGGGATGCGCTCGTGGATGCTTTGGGGGCAGGACACGGTTGTGGTTTCGGGGTGCTGAGGCCACAGGGAAAATAAACTTGGCTGCTGCTGCTGCTGCTGCTTCCACCCACCTGGCTGTGGTTCAAGGTGGGACACGGGGCGGGAGTGGGGGATTTTGGGGGGTTGTTCGGGAAGGGATGGCAGGGGGACAGCGTGTGGTGCTGAGCTCACAGCTTTATTAGAGCAGAGTCGCATCACCCAATGGGGCAGGTGCTGTGCGGGGGTTCAGGGGGCACTGAACCCCACCAGCACCAACACACACACACACACACACACATGTGTCACACGTGTCACCCCACCCTGTGCCACAGCACCGGGGGGGGGACGAGCAAGTCCTTGCAGCTGAGGGGGAAGGGGGGGGCACTGCCCCACATACCCTGTTATTGCCCCCCCAAAACAATCCCTGGTGGAGGTTTGGGGGGAGCAGGAACCCACCACCCAGGAGGACACGCAGCACCAGTCACCACGCCCCGGCAGGGCCACATCCTGCACGGGGAGGGGGCGTCACCCCCAAGGTGCTGCTGAAGGACTCGGTGGTTCCTCTTCCTCCCGCGAGGTCCTTCCTGGGGTGCCACGGCCGTTCCTGGCTCTTGGCAGTCAGAACAGGGCCACTGGAGGCTACCAGAGCGTGGGTTTGGCCACCCCCAGTGGCCACTGCAGCCCAGGTGAATTGGAGGGGGAGTTCAGGGTGGCCCCTCTGGTGGCCCCTTGACCAGGGCGATGGCAGCCAGCTCCTTGCAGAACTCCTCCAGCACCACCACGCCCTCGAAGAGCACTGTGTGATCCATCCTGGGGGCAGATGAGCAAAGGCAGGGGGTTCCCTGGGGCACGGAACCACCCCCCAAAAGGCACCTCCCCCCAAAGTCCCCCCAGCACTCACTGCTCGCCGGGCACCAGCCCCAGGAGCTGCCGGCGCACCAGGAGCAGCTTGGCCCTGGAGTGGGGCACCCGCTGGAGCCGCTGCATCAGGTCCCCAATCACCTTGGGGGGGGGAAGAAAAGAGTCAGAGCCCATCCCCAGTCACCTGGGGGGTGTCCCCATGTCCCCCCAGCGCGCTGGGTGACGTTACCCTGACGAGGACGGAGAAGAGCGAGCGGCAGCCGGGGGCCAGGCTGAGGTAGGGGTCCAGCAGGTACTCATGGAGGTGGGGGTGGGGGAAGGCGGCCAGGTGGGACAGCACCGAGGTCACCTGCAGGTTCAGGCTGTAGGGCTGGGGTGGAAGGGGGGGAGATGCTCAGGAGCTGGGGCAGGGGTGGGCCCCACCACCCAACATCCCCCTGCGGGGTGCTGAGCCCACCCCCACCGAGCACTCCTGATGCTCTTGGCCACACTTTGCGTACCTGGTCCAGGATCCGGCTCATCCTGTCAAACAGCACCTTGAGGAAGTGACCTTCATAAAATGCCCCTCCAGGGGGGCAGGACTCGAGGGGCCGGGGGCTGAGGGCCACCCCCACGGGGCCACGCTGGCACGGCACGTCTGGACCTGGCAGGGGGGTGACAGCAGGCGGGAGACAGAGTGAGGACCACCAGCAGCGGGATGGGGACCACCCTGGGGAGCCCCCCAGGCACCCACCATGCCCAGGGCATCGTGCACGTAGGTGTCGTAGCCGCCTTCCTCCATGCACGAGGAGGTCTTCGCCTCCTCAGGGACCAGGCAGAGGAAGCTGGAAGAGAGGGGAGAGAGAGGGATGGGGAGGGGGATACAGCACCCCCCAGAGCCAGGGCAGCCCCTCCAGACCCCTACCTGCTCACCACCTCGCTCACTTGCCCCTTCCCTGCCGGAGCTGATCCCTGGGGAGGGTTTGTTGTCCCAAAGCCGGTGTCTGGGAATCCATCGGTGAAATAGGGATCCTCCTCCAGGTCCCTGCAGGGCAATGCAGAGGTGTCAGTGGGGTGGGCACTGAGGGGTTGGCACTCCCCAACACACACACCCCCCCTGCCCCAGCTTCCCCCCTTCTCTCACAGCCCGTCCTCCTCGGGGTCCGCCTCGGGGGGCCCGCGCTCCTCGGGCGCGTGGGGGCTGCGCTGCAGGTACGCCCTGGCCTCCAGGTTCCTCAGCACCAGGTTGTGAGCCACGTGCTCGTGGGGCTTCCTCAGGAGCTCCTCGAAGAGCCGCAGGCTGGCCAGGCTGATCTGGGCAGGGTGGGCGGGGTGAGACCCCTCCCCTGGGGGCCGCCTCCCCTCCCTCATCCCCACCCACCCCGCCACGGGCGGGGCTCACCTCGTCGGACAGGTGGTCGCAGCGGTCGATGAGCTGCGCTCTCAGGGGGTGGGGGGTGTCCCCGGGGGTCTCGGGGTGCCGGTGAGGCCCCAGCAGGAAGAGCACGAGGCGGTGGAGCAGGGCAGGGGCGCGGATCTGCCGCACCATCCCCGCCAGCACGGCCGTGGCGCCGAGGACAGCGAGCTCCGACCTGCCGCGGTGGGGAAGGGGGAAGCTGTGAGGGGGGTCTGGGGAAAAAAGGAGGCCCCCTGTTCCTGGCTCCAAGGGAGGTCCAGGATAGCAGAACAGCCTCAGACACTCACATCTGCAGGAGCTGTGGCTGCAGGATGCCCTGGAAAAACTTCTCCTCCACGGCCTCGGTGATGGCGTCGGCCACGAGCTGGGGGGAGAGGGAGAGGATGAGCTTGGGAACCCCCGAGATGAGAGGGCACAGCCTCAAGCCGAGCCAGGGGAGGTTTAGGCGGGACATCAGGAAGAATTTCTTCACAGAAAGGCTGGTCAGACATTGGAAGGGGCTGCCCAGGAAGGTGGTGGGGTCCCCACCCCGGAGGTGCCCAAGGAAGGACTGGCTGTGGCACTCAGTGCCTTAGGCCAGGTGATGGGATGTCACAGGTTGGACCCGGTGATCTCAGAGGTCTTTTCCGAGCTAACTGACTCAGATTCTTTGACTCTTACCGAGTGGGCTCCCATCACCAGCTCATCCAGGTAGTCCAGCCAGCACAGGAAGGCAGCCAGGCTCTCCTTTCCTGGGAAAACCCCATCGCTGGCAGCATCTCCCTGAGACCTGCACGGGATGGAGGACACGGGGTGGGGTGGGGAGGGGCTGTGACCAAACCCCTGGTGACACCTGAGGTCCCCTTCCCAGCGCCCCCCTCACCTCCAGCTGGGCCTGTCCATGGCGAGGACGTCGGCAGGGTCGGTGCCGGGGGGCACGGCACTGTAGAGCTCACAGAGGTGCCCCGTGAGCAGCTGGCACAGGGCGCTGCTCCTCACCAGGCAGGCGGCAGCCGCGTCCTGGGCCAGCCCCGCCAGCACCAGCAAGTTCTCCCGAGCCTTCAGCGCCACCCGGCTCTTCTGCGAGGAAGAGGAGGAGGAGAGGGGGTTGTCACACGGCCGGCAGTGCCCGCTGTCCCCTCCTGCCACCCCTGTTTGCCCGTACCTTGCTCCTGCACAGCCCCACCAGGGAGGTGACGAGGTTGCTGTCCCTCTGCAGTGGGGAGGGCTGGGCTGGGGGGGAGCTGGCAGTGGTGCCCGGGGGTTGCTCCACACCCTCTTCCCTGGGGCTGTCCGGCAGCTCCTGGGCTCTCCTCCTGTCCAGGATGCTCTTTCCCTGGAGAGGAAGAGAAGCAGCAAAGGAGCCACCACCTTCCTCCTCCTCCTCCTCCTCACCCCAAGCTTTGCAGCGGGGATGGGGCTGCAAAAAGCTCAGTGAGGGGACCCCAAATTGTCCTACCTGCACGGGGTGGGGTTGGGGGGGCTGCTCACCTCCAGGATATACGGCAGCAGGCTGGGATCCTGCTGGATCTTGGAGCAGAGGACGGCAGCGAACTGCACCTCCTCCTTCTCCGTGCCCGAGCCCAGGCGGTCGCTGCTGAGCTGGAGCAGCTTCTGGGGAGGCAGGGAGAGGGATGGGGGAATTCTGGGGGCTCTCCCACCGCCCTCTCCACGGGCACCACTTCCCAGGGTGGGGTTTGGCAGGGGGGGACCTCACCTGTACCGGCCTGTGCACGTTGAGGTAGTGCAGGAGCGGGTGCTGCACCTGCCCCAGCACCCGGCTGAAGAACAGCAGGACCTGCTGCCTCATCCCGGGGGGATACTGGGAATGAGATGTGGGGAGGAATCAGACAGAGCCCAGTCACCTGATTTCCCTGTAACTGCCCCGAATCACCCGCTGGCTTAACCAGGGGGATGCCCCAAAACGATGTAGAAGGACCCACAGGACCCCTCCCCAGCACACCCCACCCGCCCCAGGCTCCCTTTAACAATTAGGGATTTAACTCAGTTCTCTGCACTGAAAAATCTGGGGGATTATTTCCCCTTTTCCCAGCCATGGGGAGTCCAACCCCAGCACCCCAAAACCCCAAATCCTCACAGTCACAGAAGGGTCAGCCCGTTTTCCCCACAAAAAAGCCAAGCCCCACCCCCCCGACCGTCTCACGCTTCACAAAGTCCTGCTTCCAGTAAAAACGCTCAAAAATCAAAATTACTGAGTGGCACCACATCGAGGAGCTGGAAAAGACTGCGGATGCTCCTTCCTGGTGCTGGGACACCCACCTCAGCCTTTCCCAGTGTGCCCAGTGTCTCCAGGAGCTTGTGCTGGAGCAGGTACTCGAGGCACGGCCCCGTCTCCCCCGCCGGGTGCTGCTTCTCCTCGTACACCAGGATGTCCAACATCTGCTTGAGGCGCCAGGGAATGTCCGTCTGCCTGGCCGGGATGCTCTCGTCTGGGGATACAGGGATGGGGGGGCTGCGGCGTGTCCCCCCCGCTCCCGCCCCCGCGCTCCCAGGGCAAAGGGAGCGATGCCCAGCCGGGACGCTCTCCCAGCGGCTCCCCGATCCTTGCCGGCCCGGAATCCCGCTCCTCCGGGGTGGGAATGACGCTAGATGGCAATGTGAGGATGGAGAGCCAGCAGCTGCTCCTTCCGCTCCCGGCCTAGGAAGGTGCCGGACATCCCGCTGCCCGTTCTCCCGGTGGGCGCTGCCAGCCCTGGAGACCCCCCGGCACAGCGGGAAGGGCCAAGATCCCGCTGGGAATTAGGGCTGAAGCCTCTCCAGGCCCTGCTTCAGCGCTCCCGGGGAGCGGCGTGTTCCCGACGGGGACGTGTCCCAGCCTGTCCGGCGCTCCCGGGAGTGTCCGCACCCACCCAAACCCCCCCGTGCTGACCCCGCCGGGGTGCCGGGGGGTTGGGGCCGGGCAGGGCAGGGCTCCTCGCACGGAGAAATCCTACCGGGGACTGGGAACGGGTGTCCCACGCCAAAGCCCCGCATACCAGGTCCGCCACGGGGCACTGGGGTCCCGTCCCAGGGCACGGGGTCCCATCCCGGGGCACAGGGATCTGTCCCAGGACACGGGGTCATGTCCCAGAGCACAGGGACCCCCCTCCCTGGGCACCTTATTCCCAGGCCAGGGACCCTATTTTAGGGCACGGGGACCCTCTCCCGGGACACGAGAACCCTGTTCCCACACCACAGGGACTTGATTCCTACACCTCAGAGACCCCAACCCGGGGCACGGTGACCCCATATCGGGGCACGGCGACCCTGTCCCCGCACGCCCCTCACCTGTGGCCTCCAGGTAGTAGCCGGTGATGCCCTTCCAGTGCTCGGTGAAGGCTTCCAGGAGGTCCACGCTGGGCTCCCGCTGCGCACACCGGGGCCGAGGTCAGAGGCGCACGGAACAACCCCCCCAGTTCCCGGTCCGGGTCCCGGTGCCGTTCCCATTCCCGGTCCCCCCCGTGTCCCCCTCACCGTCTCCACCGCCTGCTGCAGCAGCGCTCCCAGACGGCTCAGCATGGTTGGGACCCCCCGGGACCACCCCCAGGACCGGCCCCGACCCCGACCCCGCTCCCGGCCCCGCCCCGGCCCCTCCCCCGGCGGCTCCGCTCCGGCTCCCGGTGGGATGGGCGGGATTGGGGCGGGATTGGGGACACCGGGAGGGGGCGGGACTGGAGGAGGGTGGGGAGAGGAGGGGTTGGAGAGGTGTCATAGCTCTAGAACTGCCTCGCGGGGCAGCTCGCGGGAGGGATGGACCCAAACACACCTTGCACTGGGATAGGGATGGACAAGGACAGCCCTCCCTGCACTGGGGTGGGAATACCCCTCAGAACACACCTGGATAAGGACAAGCACAAGGACATCCCCCCTTCCCCAGCTCTCCCTTTCACACAGCACAACACACGTTTTACGACATAATTTTTTTAAAACCTTAAAAACCAACCAAACAAACAAACAAAACACCAAAAAACCCCACATTTCTCCAATGAAAACCAAGCCCTGAGGAGCGCAGCTGTTGGAAAACCACCCAGGGCCCAGCCTGGGTCCTGCCAGCTCCAGGGAATGGAGAATTGGATGCCCCTGAACTGTGTGTGCCCCGCCAGCTGCTCGATCCGGGGTGTACCCATACCCATCCCTGTAAATGGGGGTCCTGGGGGGGCTGGGGCGCTGCCAATGCACAATTTGTACCGGACCCACACTGGGGACAGAGCCAGCAGCTCGTGAGGTTGCACCTGGGAACTCTGTACCCCGAAAATGAGGTGCTGGGACGGGTGGGAATGCAGCGGGGAGAGGCTGGAAACCCACGGAGGGAGAGTCTGATATGTATATAGATCTATATATCTGTATATAAAAAATAGATGTGCGTAGTGGTAGCGTTGATACTGGACGGATAAAGATGAGATTCCAGGCTGAATCCAGGCTGGTCCTGCGCGATCCACGCGCAGCTGGGAGACTCCCGCTCCAGCAGGTCCATCTGCAGGCGGGCGGTCACATCGCAGACTTCATCTCCCACTCCTGCAGAGCAGCCCAGAAATGATCAACCCCTTCATCCTCCCTGTGCCATGGGATCACCCTGAGCCCTTCCCACCCCTCCTGGATCCCGGGGTACCTTCCTCTTCTGCCTCACGTTTCCCTTCTGCACGATGACGGGTGATGGGGGTGGCTTCAGGGCGCTCCTGGCCGACGTGGTGCGTTTCAGCAGCGGCCTGAGGAATGATCCCTGGTGGGAAAACAGCACAGAGAGGGTGAGGCCAGCCCTCCAAAGCCTTCAGCGTCCCTGCATCCTGCATCCCCCACCTCGGAGCCGGCCGAGCTGGCGGTGGCAGCGATGTGGCCCTTCAGCGACTTCCCGATGGCCAGGAGGTTCATCTCGGAGCCGGCTTTCAGCCTGCCCTTCACACGGCAGGCCCTCTCCAGCTGTCCCACCTTCTCCTCCAGCTTGGGAAAGGCTCTCTTCCCTGCAAGGACAGCAGGGGCACTGCCGAGCCAGGGCACACCTTGACCCTGCCAGTTGCTCCAACAAGGAGCAGGCAGGCCCTGGCACCGGGGCAGAGCCCCTGTGTGACCCCCTACCAATGAGGATGTCCAGCCCATCCCGAGTCCCCTTCCTCTCGGGCAGTGTCAGGGTGTGCTGGGAGTGGGAAAGATCCCTGCTCTGGAGTTTGGGCTTCTCCTTTGCCTGCTGTGGGCTGGGAGCCCTGGCCCGGAGAGCTGGTGGGGGTGCTGGGGAGGAAAGGAAGAGGAAGGATGCTCAGGAGGAAGAGAAGGGGAAGGATTCTGGGGAGGAAGAGCAGCAAAAAGATGTTGGGGAGGAAGGGAGGGGAAGGATGCATGAGGACAGAGAAATCATGGCACAACACCACGTTCATGGGCACCACAGCCCCCACCCCAGCCCCTGGGATGAGGGGGTGTGGAGGGGACCCCTGGAAGGAGCACCCAGCCCTTCTCACCTGCCTTTGAGGGCCGGGCACTGCCCGGGGCGTTGCTGCTGGTGCAGGTGGGCAGAGCAGACACGGGTCTCCTGCGCTGCCCTTGCACTGCCCGGTCCAAGCTCTGCTGCTGTGGGAGGAAATCCAGGAGAATCCCACGGGCAAGAGGACGGTGGGAACCCGTCCCCCCACCCCGGGGGTGCTGTGAGCAGGTTACCAGCTGCTGCAGCCGCTCTGCGTTGGAGTAGAGGTGCTTGGGGGTCTCAGCTGGTAGGGGCTGCCCAAAGGGGTCGTCCATGTAGGTGTTGGGGGTTGGGACGTGGCGCAGCATCAGCCCGCTGCGAGCAGGAGAGGGGGCCTGTGAATTCCCACACCCCACAGAGGAGCAGGAGGGCTGGGGGTGGCCCTGCCTCATCCAGAAGCTCCTTACCCGGCAGCAGGGCAGTTGCTGGCATCACCAGGCCTGGGGGGTTTGCTGTGGGGTCCGTCACCCGCCGGCTCCCCTCCTCCCCTGGCCCGCAGGGTCTTCAGCCAGGCTTCCCTCTCCTCATCAGACCGGGCCTGGTGTGGGGCAGGGGATCCAAGCTCAGCGTGTGGCCCCACTGGAGGGACACGAGAGCACCGCGGCGGCCCCTCACCTGCAGCAGGGCGAGCTCCCGGCCCCGCTGGGCGATGCGGATGCGGAGGTTTCGGGGGGATCCGGCGGCCGCCCCGCCGGGGGAGACGTCGCAGCCGTCGAGGCGCAGGGCGCAGACGGGGCGCTGGGCAGCGCCGGGCTCCGGGAACATCCGCAGGGCTCCCCGGCGCACGGCGCACCAGAGCTGCTGCCAGCGGCCCCGCAGCCGCACTGCCAGGAACCCTGTGGACCGCCAGCCCCCCGTCAGAGGAGGTGTTTGGGGAGGAGGACCCCCCTCACCCCCTCCCCACGCACCCCACCTCCTTTGGCATCCTCGCCGGGCCGTGGGCTGCAGGCAGGGCTCTGCTCCTCCTCCTCCTCCTCTTCCTCCCTGCCAAGCTGGGGGCCAGCAGGCTGAGACTGGGGGTGCAGAGAGCCCTGACTCTAGGGGTTTAACCACCCCCAACACCCTGATCCCTCCCCAAGCCAACCCTTCCCCAGCAAGGCTGCCAGCACATGGGACTGGGTGTGCTCCTGGCCCTTTCCCATGCCTGGGTCTCCCTGGACAAGCTCACCCTGCTGAGCCTCGAGGAAGGGGATGCTGGGGCGCTGAGGGCTGCCAGCCCTCCAGGGGCATCGCTGCTGACCTCCTCGATCACCTGCCGAGGGAAACGGCAAACGCTGCACCCAGGGCTCCTGCTCCCTGTCTAACAGGGCTCCAACACCCCTGGGATGGGAGCTGGGAGCAGATAGGACCCCCCAGCATCCCCCCAGGGAGCACCCCAGCAGGGCCATGCCCCCGTTTCTCCCTGCCCACCCCACTCCTGCCCGGCTGCGACACCTCCAAACCTTCCTCCAGTCCTCAGCCTGCTGCCGGCTCTGGAAGCCGATGACCAGCACCTCTCCCGCCGTGCCCGTCACCTTCAGGGCGTGCGGCATCTTCTTGCCTCGCTTGTCCTTGTAGGTGACGCGGCAGCCCCGCAGGTCCAGCTCCAGCACCGGCTGCAGGTCGGCGGCACACCTGAAGCACTGAGGGGGCACAGGGTGGGGAGTCAGCAGGGCGTGGAGAGCTGCTCCCATCCATCCATCCACCCGCCCATCCCTCCTCCTCCTCCTCCCCAGCCCCTCACCAGCAGCACGTGCTCCCGGACGATGAAGAGCTGCTTCGCCCACTGTCCCAGCCAGCGCTTCCTCCAGAGGAAGCCGCAGAGCTGGGCCTCGGGGCGCCCGGGGGGCTCGGCCTCGGGGCTGCCGCTCAGCGGCCACCTCAGGTAGTGGGCGCGGTCCGTCACCCCGTCCTCGTCCTCCTCGTACGACTCGTAGTGGCTGCTGTCGCTGTCGGCACCGCCTGAGGGCCGGGGCGGTGTCAGGGGGGGTGGGTGCACCTGGGGGCTGGGGAAGGGGTGTGGGGGGGTCCTTACCGGAACATCGGCTCTGGGGTTCGGCGTCTTCGTAGGGGTCGTCGGCCGGCGGGGAGGGTGAGACACCCACCGCCTTTTCTGGGGGGAGAAGGGGTGCTCCGAAGGTGCTGCCCCCAGCGTGGGCGTCGCGGGGTCCCCGAGGCACCTGGAGCGGGCGGGACCGCGGGGACCTTCCCACCCCTGTGGGAGCGAGGTTTCAATGCAGGGATGGCCACTGGTGCCCCTCTGCCAATCCCTTGTGCTGCCCCCACCCTCCTCCACTGCCCCCCTTACCCCTCCGTGCAGGTTGGGGGCGCTGGCCGGGCGGCCCTCGCAGCCCCTCCCTCCCGCTGCATCCACCGTCCTGGATCCTGCGGGGGAGAAAGCAGGACTGGCAGTGGCTTTGCGGGGCGGCGAGGGGTCGGGCAACCCCAGCAGTGCACCAGGAGGGTGGGTAGGAGCGTGGGACTCACCCGGGCTCGTCCAGCCCTGCGGGGTCCCCGGGGAGGGCGAGAGGCAGCGCATGATCATGTACTCTGCATCCTCTGCTGCGGGGGGAGCGCCCGGTCACAGCCCCGCCCCTGCTCCCTTCCCTGCTGCCCACCGGGCACCGACCGGGGGCTTCCCCCCACCCCCGGCCCCGCACTCACACGGGGGGCTCTGCAGCCGGGACAGGAGGTCGGACACCGACTTTTTCTTGGCCCGAGCCGCGGCACTGAGGCTTTCCCGGTCCAGGATGAGCAGGAAGGACCGCAGGTCCGACAGCAGCTTGTCCAGGTCTGCGGGGGGCAGGGAAGTGCCACCGCAGCCACCAGAGGAGGGCGGGCAGGGGCTCCCCGATGCCACGGGGGTTACGTGTCCCATCCCACTGGTCGTGCCCTGGCTCCAGCACCTGCCCCTGCCCTGCACAATCCCACTATTGACAGGCCCAGGGGCACGGGGGAGGATGAGGAGGGGGGCTGGGGACTCGCAGTGATGAAGGCTCCTCTGTGTGCCCTCACAGAGCCGGTTTGTTCCCGACTGGGCCGGGGGGCTGTGCTGGGCAGCCCAACGAGCTGCTCCTCGGTGTGAGGAGGAGGAAGAAGAGGAGGAGGAGTGGAGGAAGGAGCCCACCGGTCCCATGTGCGTTACAGGGGCCGTGGGTGAAGCCCCCTCGGAGGTGCTGGCACGGGGGAAGCCCCTTCCCTTCCCAGTGTCCCCAGTTTGGGAGCACACACCCTGCCCGGGGGGAGAGGAAACATCTGGCAGCGCAGCGAGGCTGAGCAATGCCGGAGCTGGGCCCAAACATCTGGATTTCCCTGGAAACTGGGGAAGGGAAAGGAAGGGGGGGACCAGCTTCCTGGGGGAAAAAGGCGGGGGGGGAGGTGGGGGAAGAGAGCAGGGGCTGCCTGAAGGGACCCGCGGGCAGCATGGGGGACATGGGGACTGTCCCCCCTGCCCCTTGTGCCTGGCTTTGGCCCTCCCTCCCTCTCTCCTCTCCTCCACCCAGGCCGAATTCCTCGGCAATGACATCTCCGGCCACTCACCCTTTTGCCCTCCCTGCAGCCCCACGCCCCCACTCCGGACTCTCCTCCCTCCGTGGGGCAGGGAATCCGTGCCCAGCGGTGCCCACGGCCAGAGCAGGGCAGGCAGGGGCTGCCCTCACCCGTGGCCTCCTGCCAGCTGCCCGCTGCCGTGCCAAGGGAAAGGCAGCCGGGATGGAAAACATCTGCCTCGGTCTCCAGGGAAGGAGGAAAACGCCTCCCCCCAAAACACGGCGCTGTCTCCCAGCAAAGCCTCCCGCTCCCACGGGACATGTCCCGGCACGGTGGCATCCTCATCCTCGCGGCATCCGCATCCTCATCCTCGCGGGGCGGAGGAGGAGGAGGAGGAGGAGGAGGAGGAGGAAGGCCAGGAGGGGGAGGAAGGAGATGGGCTGCCCAAAGGGATGCCGCGGGGCACGTGATCCCTGGGTGATGCCAGCACCCGCGGGAAGGGGGTTGGAATCGGGGGCTGGCACCTCTGCCCTGCGTCCACGTGGATTTTTTTATCGGTACACTGAGGTGCTGCGGGGTGCAGAGGCGGTGGCAGCGGCTCTGAGGGGGACCCCTGGGGTGGCTCTGGCCCAGCGCGGGATGACTCAGAGGAGGCCCCGAGCTCTCCTGCCCGCGGCGTGACCCGTCATGTGGGGAGGCTCCAGGCCACCGCTCCAGGGCGGGGACGCTCCCCCACGGCCGCTGCACCCCCCAAACTGCTCCTGGGAGGGCACTGGAAGAAGCCCTGGCACCCCCCACCCCGGCCATGGCACCCCAGTGTTGGGGGGCACCCCGTCCCTGCTCCTCTCCCCCCAGCACCCCTCCCGCAGCCCCCCGCACCTTCCACCATCCCAAACTCCCGCTCTCCCCCTTATCCCCCCTCTCCTCCTTCCCTCGCACCCCCTTTTCCCCTTCCGCATCCCCCCGCACACCCCCACGCCCAGCCGCACACGCGTGGGCACCCTCACTCAGCCCCCACACCCTCTACCCTCTTAACCCCCTCCTTTTTAGGCTTGTACCCCTCCCCTCCCTCAGCCTTGCATCGCTTTGTGTCCCCCTCCGTACCTCTCTGCCGGGACATGGTGCGGGAGCGCTCACATCGCGGCGGGATCGGGATTGGGATGGGCACCGGGACTGGGATCGGGATCGGGACCGGCACCGGGGCAGCGCTGGCCCGGCCCAGCTCGGCTCGCACACGCCCTGAGGGCCCCCAGCACAGCCCGGCCGGGGCGGGGGGAAGGCGGGGAAGGGCTCCGCATCCTCCTCGGAGCACCATCGCCATCTGCAGGGACCCGGGCTCGGGGAGAACGGGGGGTCTGGGGTGATTTTGGGTTCGGGAAGGAGGGGTGGGGGAAGCAAAGCAGCGGAGCCGGGCCGGATAAAGCCATTTCACCTTTAATTGTAAGCAAAAAATCACTCTCACGCGGATTCTCCGACACCAGCAAATAAAATAAACTCTAACAAAAACAGAGAAAGTGAATCACTGTAGTCCAGTCCGAAAACAACCCATATTTATATATATATTTATAGATATGTCGTTTGTAGCAGTGAAAGGCAAGTATGGGCCAGTGAATTCCCGATAAATTACATTCTTTACATCCCAACAAGGTCTAGCGGCTGGAAAGTGGCTGGAAACAGAAACCGGGGAGCGTGGTGGGGAGGGGGTTGGTGCGGGGTGGAGGGGAGAGGGGTCCTGCCCAAAACGTGTGCGGGGAGAGGGGAGGGCTGTGAGAAGGGGAGGTGCTGCCTGGTGCCGAGCCCTGCCTGCGCGGCCAGGAGAAGGGGGAATGGGGACAGGGACACTGCCCAGCCCCCCGGTGGCCACGGTGCCCATCGAGCCGTGCCCTGCTCCAATCCATTGCCCCGATTCGTCGTTGCCCAGTTTATCGCCCCCGTGCCCTCCTGCACCCCCCCAAGTGCATCCCCCCCTTCCCCTGCTCTACCACCCCCAGTGCATCCCCTGCCCCCTGGGCACATCTGCCCACGGAAATGCACCGGGAGCTGCCTCAGGATCCCACTGGGACCCCCCCCAACTCATCCCGCGTGCTCCCCCTCACCCCCCTCCCAGCCCTACCCTGCTCCAGCCCGGTGCCAGGTGGGTTTGGCAGTGTCCTTGGGGGCCCTCGCTGCAGCAGCTGGCACGGGAGGGACCCGGGGGGTGTCAAAAGTGAGGGGTGGGGGGCTGGAGTGGAGCAAGGTGGGATGGCAGCCTGTTTTTTTTCCCAGGAGAACATCAGTCTGGCAGTGAGTCGGCCCTCAGGCTCTTCCCAAGTCTCAGGGTGGGGAGGAGCACCCCTGGGGGCACAGGGGCACCCTGGGGGGCACAGGGGCAGCCAGGCTGAGGGGGCTGAAGGCAGCAGACCCCCAGGGAGGAGGGAACCCCCCCCACCCAGTGCCCACCCACCGGAGCCCATGCGCTCCAGGCTGGCCAAAAGCAGAGCCAGGCACTGCCCCTGCCAGCAGTCCCTGGGGGGGGGGCAATTTGGGGGGCAGAAAGGGGGCACAAAACCCAGACAGCCCCCCCCAAACCACCCCTCCTGGCTGAACCGTGCCTGCCCTGGGGCGGGGGCTGCCCCATCACCCCGTGGCGAGGCAGGTTCAATCCCACCCCCCCTGCCCTGGCCTGGTTTCCCACTGGAGGAGCGAGACCAGGTGAGGGGTGGGGCAGCAGATCTGGGGGTGTGGGAAAGGGGTGGGGGTGGGGGACACCCTAAAAACCGGCTGAGAGCCCTAAAGCGGGTACAGGGCGCGACACGGACTGAGCTGGGGGCCGGGCGGGGCTCAGAACAGGAACGCTTTCTTCTTCAGCTCGTTGCGCTTCCAGAGGGCCAGTTTGCTGAACTCCTCCGGGGGCATCTCGAAGACCTTCAGGAAATCCTCGGGGGACAGGTGTCTCTGTGGGGGGCAGAGGGGATGGTGATGGGTGCAGGGACCCCCTCCATACCCCCCCAAAAAACCCTGGCATGGTCCCTACCTCCAGCCTGGTCCTGTCCACGCCGGGCGGCAGCTTCACACGGCCTCGGTTTGTCACCATCAGCATTTCATAGGGGTAGATCTGCAAGGGGGAGGGGGCACACACGGCTGTAAGACCCTCTCATGGCCCTATCCAAGCCCTCCCAGCCCATCCAAGCCCTCCCAGCCCATCCAAGCCTCCCCCCATAGCCCTGCTCACCTTCTGCTCCAACATGCTGGGCAGGGAGTTCCCTCTGTCCATGCGCCCACGCTGGCCGTTCTGGGGGGGCAAAGCCTGGTGTCAGCCTGGCCCCCCCTCCCCAAAGGGCTGCTTTGCCCCACCTGAACTGATGCCAAGGTGATGGGCTCCAACCTGGCATGGCACAGCCCCCCTCCCACCTCCAGGTGCCCCCTCTCCCCCTGGGATCAGTCCCAGAGGTGTCCCCGGTGTGTGCCCCCCATCCCATCATACGTCACCCTCTCGCTGGGTCTCCGTCCTGGCAGCCAGGTGAGTTCTTACCTGCAGGGCTGGGAAACAGAGAGGAGCAGGGCTGAGCCCTCTGTTGAGCCCAGGTTTGCCCCAGCACTCCTAATCCCTTGGAACATCCCCACATCCCCCCCAGACATCCCACATCCCCCAGGACACCCCAACAACTCCAGGACATCTCCACATCCCCCCCAGACATCTACACATCCCCTGGGACACTCCAACACTTCCAAGACATCTCCATATCACTGGGACATCCCCCATCCCCTGGGACCCCCCACTACCCCTCTCCCCAATATCACCCCCGTTCCACGGGCTGATCCTCACCTGGACTGCCCTTCTCGCTCCCTGCCGAGCCGAACTCTGCCGACTGCAGCTGCAGGGGGACAGGGGACAGGGTCAGAGCAGGGCCACCCCCAGAGCCTGTCCAGGGTGGGGCACGACCCCAGAAGTAGGGGGGGGGCATTGCTGCCCACTCACCCGGGTGAGGGTGCTCCTGCCTGAGGCCGGCAGGGAGGAGCTCTTGGAGCTCGTGTGCAGGGCTGGAAGAGAGGAGAGATGGTCAGGGGGGCAGGTAGGGGTGAGGGAGGTGCAGGCAGGGATTGGGAGGTGCAGGTAGGGGTGCAGGAGGTCCAGGCAGGGGTGCAGGCAGCCAGAGCCAGCAGGTGAGGCAGGGAAGGGCTGGGCTGCAGGAGGAACACCCCACGTACACGTGTGGAAGGGCGTCCGGTCCGGCAGCGAGCGGGTTTTTCTCCGGATTGGGAGAGATTTCTCCATCTCCTCCTTCAGGATCAGCTTCCCGAGGTTGGAGGTGACCTGGGGATGAAGGGCATGTGGGTTGGGAGCAACATCAACACGCCCCCAGCCCCTCCTGAGGCTCCACCTGACTGCTCTGCCCCTCACCTTGCTCAGCTCCTGCTTCTGGAGCTCTCGCAGGTTCTTCATCTCCTCCGTCAGGTCCTCGTCCTCCTCCTCCCCTCTCTTGGAGGCCATCCTCCTCCTCCACTCCGTCTCTGCAGGCACAGGGGGGCTGTCAGAGCCCTTCCCATCACCCCACAGGGTCTCTGAGTGGGGTAACCCCCCCCGTTCCCACCTACCCACGACGGCCAGGGACGGGGGGCACGGCCAGTAGTCGGTCTCGATCTTGGCGGGCTGGTTGGGGTCGGGGGGCTGCGCCGCCGGGAACTTGGAGGACTCAATGATCAGGTCCTCTATGAGATGCTTCCCGTGGTGGGCACTGGAATGGTGGTCTGTGGGATGAGGGGTTAGGGGTGAGGCAGTGCCTTTTGGGGCGCCCCATCCCACAGGACAGACCCCCCACACGCACACACACACTCACCTTTCTGCCGGTAGATCGGAGGTTTCTTGTAGATGTTGAGCTCTGTCGTGTCGGTCTCTGGAAGGGGAAAAGGGGGTTGGAGAGTGGGGAACGGGAGCTCGTGGCTGTGCAGGGCCCCCCAGGGTGGGTTTGGCAGCACCAGGAGGGCTCTGTTGGGGGGGGTCCCGGTGCCAGGGGGGCCGTACCGGGTCGGTGGAAGTGCTGGACGCTGCTGCGGGTGGAGGAGCCGCCCTGGCGCGAGGTGGGCAGGGGGGTGCTGGTGGGGGGCCGGCTCTCCAGCCACTCCCGGATGACCTGTGGGCACACAGGGATCAGTGATCAGCCAGTCCACCCCCTCTGGTTCCCCCCAAATCCAGCATCCTCCTTGGAATTCCCCCCCTCCTCGTTACTCACCTCCGGAGACGGAGGGGGAGAGATGGATTTGGGAGACAGGGAGCGCTGCAGGAGGCAAGAAGCATTTTATTCCACTTTATTCCAGCAGCCCCACAGCTGGGATTCCTCCCCTGACCCCTCCTCAACCCCCCCCAAAAAAAAAACCAAACACCCAGGGGACAGAAGGGGCCCAGGGGCATCCTGACCTCCCGGCTCCGGGGCAGCTCCACGTGCTCCATGAGCGAGTAGGTGAAATGGGGTTCGTAGATCATCAGGTCGGGCCGCTCGATGTCCAGGATCGCCTTGTCCTTAGGGATGGCAGCCAGGTCCTTGTACCCCAGGACCTCGTTGTCCATTTTGGCCTGGAAAGGAGGGAAAACGCCTTGGTTCTGAGGGCAGAAAGGGGGTATTTTGGGAACAGGGAGGGCTGACGTTTTCTGTGGCCCTGTTGGGGTGATGGAGGGGGTTTGGGGAGGTGCATCCTGTCCCCATGGATGGAGGGATGCGGTGGGAAGGTGGGAATGGCTTCTTACCACGATGCTGGAGGGCGATCCGGGAACGCTGGACCCTCGGGAAGAACAGACGCTCCCAGGGGAGGTCAGTGGCTGCTGGATGGGAAAGGAGACGTCTGAGGCCAGGAAGGGGCTCAGGGTTGTGTTTGGGAACCCAGGTCATGGCAGGAAGGGCCTGGGGACACCACTGTGCCCATGGACCTCAGTGCAAAAGATTTCTTGGGGATTTCTGGGGTCTCCTTTGCTCCTCTGGGGGCAGGGGACAGTGGCTTAGCCAGGACACGCTGCCACTAGATGGTGCTGCCAGGCTGGGATGGAGGAGGAGGAGGAGGAGGAAGGCAGGGCCCTGCTAGGGGCATCCCATGACTGCCCATGTCCTTGGCCACCAGCCACTGCCTGCATGTCCCCAGCACCCTGTCTGTACCCCCAGCGGCTGCCTGTACCCCCAACCCCTGCTTGGACCCTCAGCACCCTTTCTAAACACCCAGTACCCTTTCTGGACCCCCAGCACCCTTTCTGGACCCCCAGCACCCTGCCCACGACCCCCTGGGACCCACCCACAACCCCTCCCTTACCTTCTGCAGTCTTTCCATTCAGCTGTGGGCAGGAGAGGTTGTGTCAGTCACAGGGTCCTGTGGGGACAGCAGAGGGCTGGGGGCACAGCCAGGGTGGGCACAGAGCACACCCCATGCTGGTCAGGGGCGAGGTGCCCATCTCCCACCACCCTCCTGCCATGGGGCTGAGCCCGGCAGCCCCCTGGACACCAAACCCTAAGGTGGCACGAGGCTGGCACATTCCTCACTGCCAAATATCGCTGAGCTGGCAGCAGGACAGGCTTCCCAGGGGGTGCCACCGTCCCCCAGGCAGGGGGGACAGGCGTGGGGCACTCACCGCTGCCTCTGTGGCTCCACATCCCTCTGGGCGCCGACACCAGGCTGGGGCTCGGAAATTCCCTCTGCAAAGGGAGAGACGGGAGAGGTGACGGTGACTCACAGGAAGGTGGAGCTCCACCTCATCCCCCCCCGCGCTGTCCCTGTGGACCCCGGTGCCCGGCCGTGTGTCCCCTGCCCGTGCCGGCTGCCTGGTGGCTGCTGACAGTGCTGGCAAGCGGGAGCAGCGGGAATGACGCCCTTTTGTCCGGCGGCCTCGAGAAGGCTCCAGCGGGAGCGGGACGGGCGTGCTGTGCTCAGCCCCCCGCAGCCCCCCGGGGCCTCGGCCCTCGCTGTGCTTCACACCCACAATGCCGCACACAAAGGGGAAAATTCCCCATTCTCCTCAAAACTTCTCCTTCGGGAGGGGGAGGGAGTCGGGAAAAGCCTCGTGCGAGCCGGGCAACAACAACAGCAGCAGTGGCAGCACCGGAGCCCTCCGGCCTTGAGCCCCGACCCTGGGCGTGGGCTGGGGGGGCTGTCACCACCTCTGGGGACCCCAACCCTGCTGTCCCCCAGCCCCACGGCTCCCGGGAGGGGGTGAATCACCCCCTGTGGGCTGCGGAGATGGAGAAGGAGCAGGTTTGAGGAACCCAGGAGCATCCTCCCGCTGCCGGCACGAGGGTCCAGCCCAGCACGAGGAGGCCCCACCGGCAGCTCCACCTCCCCTCCCTGAGGACCCCCGCCCCGCCACAAATTACCCCCAGGTTCATCACCGGGGAGGGGTTTTAACCCACTCACACCCCCCACCCCCCACCCCCGAGGGTCTGCAGGGCCGGGGGTCGGTGGGACGGGATCGGCACCGAGCGCGGCACAAGGCGGCATTGTCCGGGCACATCCATGAGCTCACACTTTCCAGCGGCGGGGCCAGGGCAGCCCCCCGGCCTCCGGTCACACCCCCCGGGGGCGTTTGGGACACCGTCGGGGCCGCGGTGGCAGCGAGCAGATGGATGCGATGGCGGAGGAAGCGGCGGAGCGGCGGGAGGGGGGTGCGGGGACGGCTGGATGCGGATGCCGGAGGGGACGGAAAACAACCCCGAGTCGGGAGGAGGATGGGGGGGGGTGCGGAGCGATGCCAAAAACCTGGCGAAGGGTGCCAGGGCTGCACAACCAGCTCGGCCACGGTGTGTGTGTCCGTGTGTCATCCCCCCTCCCCGCGCTAGGGGACGCGGGGACATCTTATCTGGCGCAGGCAGGGAGCCACCGCCCCGATGGCAGCCGCGCTCCCCATGGCAACATCCAATCTCCCCGCAACCCCGCTGGCAGGTGCTCCGCGTGTTCCCGAGATAAGCGTGTTTGGGATTTTCCCGGCCAGGAGGGTGAGAGAGAGAGAGGGGAGAAGTGGCGTGGGGGGAGGACACGCCGTGCCCCCCTCGCGGGGAGATGCTGAGGGTACCCAGCGAGGGAAAGGAGCCGGGCAGGGAGTCACGGGAAGAGCGGTGGAGGAGGGAGGGACGGACAGACAGACAGGACACGTGCGGGAGGGGGCTCACCGGGATGTGGGGGTGCCGGTGTCCCCCACCTCCTCCCGTCCCCGGAGGGGGGGTCCGTGGCGAGGGCTGTGCTGCAGCGGGAAGAGGCCGGTTCCCTCCTCCCCACCCCGAGGAAATCCGGATTTGACTTTTCACAGCCGCCAAAGCCATCAGTGCCCGGCCCTGGGCCAGGGGCCAGGCTGGGAGAACACCCCCAGCTGCCCGCGGGGGAGCGGGCAGGGACCCCCCGGCCTTCCTCCCCTCGTCCTCCTCCTCA